TTAATATAATATATATAGAAAGAAAGAAAGAAAGAAAGACAGACAGAAAGAAAGAACGAAAGAACGAAAGAAAGAAAGATAGAAAGAAAGACATCTTATAACAATTCTTTATCGCCCACAAACGTGTTATTATTTATCCCAGTACATTCTGGTCATACTAGCAAAGTCGCGTGCATAAACTAGTCAAAAACAATCTCAACAACCCTCCACATTACTTAACGCTAATATTTATTTAAATCTGAATATTTATTATCAATTATAACAAAATCCAAACAGAGTCGCAAGTGTTCATTGCAATAAGGGTTGGTTTCCCAGGGGATTATGTCACCCTAAGGGTGGGAAAGTCAAGTGTTAAGGGTAGATAGACAAATGATGACACGTGACGGGCTGGTACGATAAAATGTAATATATCCGGACAGATTCTTATTTTTTTTTAAAGGATGATAATGAATTGGTGCACCCGCCTGCGCTAACGGATTACGCTGGCGGGGCACCAGTGGAGGATGATAAGATGAGCATGAGGTCAGCTCAGTTAGCACATCGTGACAAATTCACCAGGAATTTAACATGATGATTTCCAGAACCGCAAGTATATTGCTAGCAATGGGGTTATTAGTCCATATTAGTACGTAGCGGTTTCCATGTTGATTGTCGCATGCCTAATCCTTATTGTTAATTAAATATAAGCAAATGAATATTTAATTAAAAGAGCAACACACAAGTTTCTTGCTCATTCTTCTTGTGATGAGTCTGCATTCCGAATGAGCGGTAGAATAAAAAAACTTGACTATTCAAAAGTGCTTATATTAAGTTTATTTGAATAAAGATTATTTCTATTTCTATTTCAATTACTGGCAACCTCTTTCCGCTATATCAATAAAGTTAAATCTTAAATCGTTAAATAAGTACTGAACGGATTTTAATGAAACTTTGCAGTAATATAGCTTATGTAGAATAATACATGATTGATCCCCCGTCCAGTTCAAACGGGGATCGAAATTACGACGGCCTGAGCCGAGGTTCCAACCCCTAGTGGGAATTGACCTTTAGCTGTTCCATAAGTCCTTCTGCGGGTTTGGAGTGCCATCTGCACTCGCCTCCTATCGTCCGGTGAAGCTGTAAAGGCCAGCTGCGGCCAACAGCATTAGAGTAGTCCGAAAAAAAAATAATACATAGGTTATAATTTTAAAAGATATTATGTAAATTGGGCGAAATATAATGAGAAATGTCATGTACGTGTGATGCAACTGACGTTGCAGGGGTAAGCTAGTATTTCTATAAAACATACATAGCGAAGTATGTATAGATTTAAAAGGTTCACCAAGAGGTTAATATAGCTTATTGATATATAAGCTATATTAATAGCTAAGCTATAGAATAAGACATAGGCTAAAAATATAAAAAAAAAATATAAAAAAGTAGCGGGCTGAAGGAATTATTTCACTAAAACAACCTTCAAAACTCAAACGCACAATTTTTATTCTCAACAAACTTTATATTCCACTAATTTTAACAACTCAACATTTTACAGACTCTCTAATACTACAGAATACAGACCACAGACTAATTACATTTTTAGGTTGATATTTGTTTTTTTTTTAATCAACTTTAACACGGGCGCTAGTAGTAACTATATAATAACTATATAAATAGCCCGCAGTTTTAACCTTTTAGTTACCTATCGATGACATCGGTGCTCTAGCAGTTTAGTACTCCACTTTACAATCCCGTGGCCGCAGGTTCAATTCCAAATAAATTCTGTTACGACCGACTCAAAGTATAAAAACCACAGATAAGATAATATTACATAAGTAATACATTGCGAGTTATAAAAAAAAGTATAGCTCACCTCTTTTTTTTATATCGGTAAAAATTCTACGAACTTCTCCGAGTTTTTACCAAATACTCTTTATCTGACATCTTCACGGCTGGTGGAGAAATAAAAAGATTTTCTAATTGAACGCCGGCATTAATTAATTGAAGTTTGAGAAGCGTAGATGTAAGGATTAGGAGCTTCCTCTTTTTTGTATAATAATATTTTTTTTAATACCATATCGACATCGAGGGATTTGTTCAGTTAATAAAAGTATCGTCATTATCAAAGATAGAAGCTTGAAACTTATTTTTTAACCTGTTGATTGAGTTGTATAAAATTCGGAATGGAAATTTTCATTTTTGAAGTACGATGAAACTTTTCTTAGGTTACTACGATTTTACGCGGACGAAGTCGCGGGAACAGCTAGTGTAATAATATTTTTTTAATACCATATCTAGAGGGATTTGTTCAGTTAATAAAAGTTTTTACGATTATTATTTAATATCCCCTTAGGGGTGAAATTTATCAAAATCCTTTCTTAGGGAATGCCTACGTCATAGTAGCTTTATGCATGCAAAGTCCCAGCCCCGATCGGTTTAATATTGACAAAGTTTCATACAAACTTCCATCCCCTATTTTATCCCTTTGGGGGTAGAATTAATCAAAATCCTTTCTTAGCGGATGCCTACGTCATAACATCTACCTACATGCCGAATTTAAGCCCGATCCGTCCAGTGGTTTGGGCTGTACGTTGATAGATCACTACGTCAGTCACCTTTGAGTTATATATATATTTAGATAATCGGTATACTCATGTACATATATATTATTATGTTCATCATGTTCATTATGCTAGCTGTAGGTACACGCAACTTCGTCCGCGTGGAATTTAACTTTATTTTCCTAAATAAAGATATTTTTTCTATAATAAAAGTAGCCTAAGTTACTTTTATTACATCAGCTACCTGCCAAAAAAGTCCCGTCAAAATCGGTCCAGCCATTTCAGAGATTAGTCGAAACAAACTGACAGACAGACAGACAAAAATTGTAAAAAATGTTATTTTGGTGTATGTATCATATTTATATTCATATGCATGTAGTAAAAAATGGTTATTTCAATATTAGAAACAGACACTGCAATTTTATTTATACGTATAGATATATATATAAATCTGTCTCGCTTGCACCATACAACTTGCATTAGTAATGAATAAGAGCATCAACCTAATCATACAACACCATCAAAATCAATTGGTGAAAATCCTATAAAAATTACACAATTGCCTATAAACTCCATTGGGCTAACATTACACCCCAATTGCAGGGTTGTAGGGGGATGCGTGCGGCTTGCTGATAAGAACGAGGCGGGGGTTGGTTACAGCGAGAGAGGGTAGAAACATTAAATACCGCCTCGGTGGTCCAGCGGTGGCACACCTCCTTACTACCAATGGTAGCCGGTTCGATTCCTCGCACAGTACAATTATTTGAATTCTTGTGTATATAGTGGCCTGGCTGTTTCAAATGTGGATTATGTATATATTTTGACGGCCCCGGTGATTTAGCGGTTTACCACACCGCCATACTTCCGATGGTCGCGGGTTCGATGCCTCGCAGAGTACAAACATTTGTATTCATGAGTATGAATTTTTGTATCGGTTTGGGTATTTTCTATGTATATGTATGTATTTACAAAAATATAAAATAAAATATCTATATATTTGTATCAGTTGTCTAATACATATTAATAATAATAATCTCAGGACAATTAACACAGCGCCATCTAGATCCAAGTTAAGCTAGCTAAAGCTTGTGTTATAGGTACTAGATAACTGATACATATACATAGATTTTTTTTATATTATGTTATCTGTGCTGGTACCCATAACACAAGCTTTACGTAGCTTAATTTGGGTCTAGATGGCGCTGTGAGAATTGTCTTGGGATTATTTATTTATTTAAAGTGCTAAACTCCTAGATCTTCGAGACTGTCTATATTACCTACTCAATGAGCACAACTAAGAATATTATTTTTTATAAAATCTCGATCTATCGGGTTCATACGCCAACTATTTTGTTTCCATATCAGTGCCCTATCGGGGAATTAGCCCCAAATCTATTACAGCCTTCACCCCTGTCGGAGGCGCGTGCCACAACACCCATACATTTATTCCATGGATTATTTTTATGGGAGACTGACGATATTATGTGGGATCAGATTTACCATCTGCAATAACAATTTGCAAGTCAATTGGTAATACTATAATAATTTTTATTGAAACGTTATAAAGACGACAGAAGAAAGAATTTAGAAATCGAACATTCTTCTTAGTAATGGACAAATCAAATATTTCAATTTTTGTTTGATTTTATTCCTTTTGTTGATTGTTATAGTCTGTGGTCAAATCTATTCTCAAAGATTAATAGTATTTGTGTATAGTCTTACTGAATGTCAAACATAACCATAATAAATTCACAAATTACAATATATTTAAAACAATTATGGTTGAGTTTCGACCACTGGACGACTAGTATATCTAATATTATGCTCTGTAGAAAAAAGAAATACATATGTAGTATAAGAAATACACACTATATACCTACATATAGTATCTGGAATGAACTCCAGGGGATACTTTTTATAAATGATAGATATATAATTATATAAATGATAATAAAGATGATAAAGATATGTTATATATATATATAATATGATATAAAAGGATGTTTAAACAGAATGTCTTTATAAAAAAAATTGATATGAACTATATATATGTAACTATCTACTCGCCCCGGCTTTGCCCGGTTGTACATGTATTACACATATAAACCTTCCTCTTGAATCACTCTATCTATTAAAAGAATCGGCTTCAAAATACGTTGCGTAGTTTTAAAGATTTAAGCATACATAGGGACCGACAGACAGCGACAGTGACTTTGTTTTGTACTATGTAATGATGCAATTTGTCATAAACTACATATATATGTACAGGATACATATATATGTATAGGATACTTTTATAAAAGTTAAAAAAAGAATATTAAATAAAACGATTTTTAACGACAATATCTTTATAAACAAGCAATTGACATGAACTATATATATATATGTATAGGATACTTTTTATAAAAGACAGATAAAAAAACGATTAAATAAAAGGATTTCTAAACAGAACGTCTTTATAAAAAATCACAATTCGCTTTTTGAACTCTTTTTCAAACTCCTAAACGCTTGTATGGCATCGAGCACATCATCAGCGAAGACTTGGGGCAGTTCCGATGCGAGGAAGTGACCACCTATGTCGATGGCTCTCACGTTGACCAAGTTGTGGTACTTGAATTTCAGAATGATGGGAGGCTGGTAGCTTATCTCGTGTTTAGCTTGGACCACCCACGTGGGAACTGAAGTTGGGATCCTGTAATTTATTATACATTTAATAAAATCAGAATAGCAAATTTAATTTGTAATATTTATCGTGAAAGTACATTATCTATACATATAAATAAAATTGAAGTGTCTGTTTGTAATATTGAAATAACCGTTTTTTACTACATGCATATGAATATAATATTCTTTACAATTTTTGTCTTTCTGTCTGTCTGTTTGTTCCGGCTAATCTCTAAAATGGCTGGACCGATTTTGTCGGGACTTTTATGGGCAGATAGCTGATGTAATAAGGAGTAACTTAGGCTACTTTTATTTTAGAAAAATATAGTTAAATGCCATGCTCACAAAGTCGTGGGATCAGTTAGTTATTAATAGAACTGGTCAATTCTTACTGGTGAATCTTCACAGATAACTGCTTCTTATTAATTGTTTCAGCATATAATCTCATAGACGAAGTTATAGAGTTACTGGTCCAGTACATCATCAGGTTATCGACTAGGTGTTCTCTGGTGAAGTACTTGGTGAGACCACCGTCTTCCAGATTCCTATTTTCGGGACGAGTCGCTACAGATGTCTTTTCTAGAATGTACGCTAGAAGACCGGCTGGAGAGTCGGTTAGAGAGACTCCTGAAATAGAAATATTAGTAATTCACTCAGGGCTGAAGTAGATTATGAAACACTTATAAATCAGGCAAGCAGTCTGATATAGATGAGAAAGGACGCCTACGCAAATGACTTTATACAAAGTCTATCAAGCGAATAGATAAACAGACATTTTTATATGTAAAGATATTTATTTATTTATTTGTTTACGTCACACTAAGTGAACTTTACAGTCTTCCAACATGCCCACTTAGGAAGATTGTATACAAATACACACAATTATAAACACTAATTACTAATACCTACACTAGGAAAAAAAAAATACCTAATCTAAATTTTACATACTACATAAATAATCTGCAGCCATCCTACGAAACTCCAGCAATTTACTAGTAAATATGTCTAGATCTGGAAAGCGACTAACTACACTGTTGAGTAGACTCAGATATAGATATTGGTACACTTAGTTTTTTTTTGCAAATTTTCTATGTTTATATCTAAATCTTGCCTTGTAAATTGCCTAGGCTTCTTACCAAATGGCTTGCTTTGTAAGTTGAGTGTCTTTGTAAGGGCGAGGTTTTGAAATTTCGAGAACTATTAATTATATAATGCCAGTGAATAGTTCTCTCCTACCATCAGGAGTACCACCTAAAATACCATCCTCATCATCTGGATGAATGGTGGTCCTCCACAGTACAGTTTTCTAGAAACTTTTAGCCACATACAACCACATTGTGGAATCACCTTCCAGCAATTTCCGAACCGATACGGTATTGAAACCTTCAAGAAAAAGCACTTGCATTTCCAATTCCCCTGGTTGCAGGTGCTCGTGGGCGGTATCACTTATTATCAGGTGAGCCGCATGCTCGTTTGTCACCTGTGTTATAAAAAAAAACCATAGAGATCTTTATGACCTGAAGCCCGCGTTGCTGTTCATGTATATAGTCCACGATTACTATTTAGCTTGTTCATCATTTCTAATACTCACCAATTGTATCAGGTTTTGTAGCTTGAATGTGGAAATATCCTGACTCTTCCACTAAAAAGGAGAAACTCTTCGATAGAGGGTACAACCGGTCCACTAATTCAGGGTCCATGAAGAGGGGTGGATAGATTGATATCAGTAATTCAAGTATGAACGATTTCGGATCCCTGAGTATCCCAAAATTGGTGTGGTAACCCAGCACTTCCTGCAATAGTAAAAGAACTAAAGTATTTCTTATACAAATAAAATTTGTCGTTGCTGGCTGGTATCGTTAAGTTCAAAATTCCTTTATTTGAAACTAGATGTGCTCGTGATATCACCATCGTTAAAAATCAATAAAAATAGTATATTTTTATTCTGATGCAGTTAGTTTTTTCGTGAAAGAGTAACAAACATCGATACTTACAAATTTTTATATTTATAATAATAATATTCATAAGATTAATGATGTGTTGATGATGTGATTTTTACAGGATTTTTTTTTATTTTGGTTACACTTTAGTGATCAAAACAAATTATTAATAAGTAGTTTCATATATGGATCGATAAAAAAGGGGAGAGTAGTGGGGGATTATCTTTTATAATAATTCTTATATTATTGCACCCTTGAAGTATCTTCACCCTGTGAGGGATAACAGAGATTCAATGCTAATACTGGCCTATGTTTGACGGCCTTGGTGGTCTAACAGTTCAGCACACCAATTCACTTCCTACAGTCGCTGGTTCGATTCCTCTCACCGCACAAACATTTGTATTCATGAGTATGACTGTTACATACTTAATGTATGTAGAAAACACCCAAACCGATACGTTTGGGTGTTTTCTACATACATTAAGTATGTATTTAAAAAAACTAGATATTAATATCAGTTGCCTAGTACCCATAACACAAGCTCTGCTTACCGTGCAACTAGATGGCGCTGTGGGAATTGTCCAGGGTTGTTCATTTACTCATTTATTATTATTATTATTATGAATGGTAGTAATATTTCTTGTTAGAACGAAACCGGTCAAAATTACAAGAGAATATTTTTTTATAGTTATACTATATGTAAGGGTAGTGTTTTTTTATGGATGATAATGGAATGGTGCACCTGCCTGCGCTAACGGTGTACGCTGGCGGGCCACCAGTGGAGGATGATAAGATGAGCATGAGGTCAGGTCAGTTAGCCCATCGTGACAAATTCATCAAGAATTTATCACGATGGTTTCCAGGGGGAACCGCGTGGAGGTCGACCTGACATGGTACATTGCTAGCAATGAGATCATCAGTCCACATTACTAACAATCCCCTTTCCCCCCTGTAAGGGTAGTGTTAGAAACATTAAAAATCATATACCTTAGGAAACAATGTCGCCATGTTGCTACAAATTATACCACCCCAATCACCACCCTGGATGTAGAACTGGTCATGTCCCAACCTGCGCATAAGGTTCCTCAAAACCACTGCAATCTCAATTGCTCCTAAACCTGGACGAACAGCTGCCTGTAATAATAATAACATGATAAAGAGGAAATACATATTTATATTTTGTATGTTTGTAACAAAAACTGATAAAGTATTGGATTGATTTTAAATATTCTTTCTCTGTTACATTATCTCTGAGTAATTATATAATAATAATAATAATAATAATCATCTCAGGACAATTCACACAGCGCCATCTAGTCCCAAGTTAAGCTATCTAAAGCTTGTGTTACGGGTACTAGATAACTGATACAAGTACATAGATAATTTTTTTTCGTAAATACATACATATTATACATAGAAAACGCCCAGACCAATACAAACAATCATACTCATGAATACAAATGTTTGTGCCGTGCGAGGAATCGAACCCGCGACCATCGGACGTAAAGCGGTGTGCTAGACCGCTAGACCACCGAGGTCGGCAATAGTGTCCATTTTTACTAAAAAAAAATAGAGATCCTACTAAAACTACATGAAGGATATATTAAGGTTTATTAATGGTCGGAAAAGGGATTGTTAGTAATGAACACTGATAATCTTACTGCTAGCAATGTACCATGTCAAGGTGACCTCCACGTGGTTCCCCCTGGAAACCATCGAGATAAATCCTTGCTGAATTTTTCACGATGGGCTAACTGACCTGGCCTCATGCTTATCTATTCATCCTCCACTGGTGACATTAAAAAATACATACAACCCTAAATTTTCACCCATCTATCACAAACCCCTATGTTTAATAGCGATTTTATTTTAGTTTAGTTTAATTGAGTTAAAATTAGGTTGTAATTTCCGAAAATTAAATGGCAATTTTAGTTTAAATTAATTCTATACTCACATCGGAATATCCATAGCCTGGTAGACTAGGAATGATTACTTCTAATGCGAAATTATTACCCTTACTAAGGGTCGTTAGTAAAGGTACTACAGAATAAAACTCGAGTACTGAAGACGGCCATCCATGTAGAAGCAACAACGGCACAACTTCCACATTCGCTGGAACCTGTAAATAAAAAATAGTTTAATATCTCTGTTTATTGAATTGAAATCCTATATGAGAACTGGTTTAAGAGTTTATATACTACTAACAGTGCCCGCGGCTTCGTCCGTGTATGTAATATTATGTTATCTGTGGTCCGTGTATTATACATTGACCAAATAAAGAAAAAATGTTCAATAATCTAACCCTAAATAGTGGAGGGAACAGGATTGTTAGTAATGTAGACAGATGATCCTATTACTAACAATGTACCCTGTTAGGTTAACCTCCACGCGGTTCCCCCTGGAAACCATCGTGATAATTTTCCGGTGAACTTATCACGATGGGCTAACTGACCTGACTTCATGTTCATCATATCATGAGTGATTCACCTCCACTTGTGCCCAGCCAGCGTAAACCGTTAGCATTCTATTATCATCCACTAAAAAAAACAAAAAATAGTTTACTAAAAAAGTTTCATCGTTCAACCTTCTAGATTTAAAAATGACAATACTTCCATACAACTTTTGATCTCCCTTTTCAACACCTTACAACCCTTTTTTTCGAATTAAAATTAGCCTATGTCCTTTCCCAGGATCTAGACTATCTATGTACCAAATTTTATTTAAATCGTTTCAGTAGTTTTGGCGTGAAAGCGAGACAGCCTTTTCACACGCTTAAACCAAAGGAAAAACTTTTAAGCGACAATTTTTTTATCCATTATCCACCTATAGTTACCAATACTTGTATATCTTTCTTCAAGTGAAGCTTATTCAGGTAGATTATCCCAAAGAGTATTGTACCCACTGGGGTACAATACTTGTGTGGGGTACAATAATGCGTACTGACGCATCGACATTATCTTATCATCAGTTCTAGCGATTCAGTCGTGCCAATAAACGATTTGTCAAGCTTTATCTTTGTTAGGTCCTTTTGTGGCTATAGATTGATTTATATTTACTGAATAAATAATAATAATAAATAACTCTAGACAATTAACACAGCACCATCTAGTCGCACGGTAAGCACAGCTTGTGTTATGGGTACTAGACAACTGATATAAATAATTAGATACTTTTTTTTGTAAAAATATATCCCAGTATCTATTGATTCGAATTGTGTTGGATCAATTCATCGAAGTCCAAGTCGAGGAAGGCTTTAAGCTATATAACATTACGCTACGACCAATAGGAGCAGAGCTGCAATGAAAAATATTGCAAAACGTGGTGAAACGAAACGCAGACGAAGTTGCATAATATACATAGAAAACACCCAGACCTTACCATACAAACAATCATACTCATGAATACAAATGTTTGTACCATACGGGGAATCGAACTCGCGACCAACGGAACAAAAAATTATCATGACCTATTCTATTACCTGAGGTTTAACCCTAACGAAGTGTATATCCAAACCCTGGATATTGGTCTTGAACTGCGGAAACTGGTTAATGTGCTTCTCCCGATCCTCAAATGGGTACTCCTCCGCCCAATACTGTATCCAGGAGTCCAGGGCCTTTGTGTTGAATCCGTATTCGAAAGCAATTCCTTCAAGTGGGGGTGTGAAATCGCGGTGATTCCTTAATCTGCCTCTGAGGTCATTTATCATCTAAAATTATTGTTTTCATATATTTTATCGAATTAGGTGTTATTGCAATTCCGGTTACTTAAAAAAATATACATACAAAAATTCTAGAAAATACTGTAAACGTTTTAGAACCGTTTCAAATTGATCATATTCTTAATTATATTTATAAACTACCCATGACCCGCCCGCGTGGAATGTGAAACTTTATTTTTCTAAAATAAGAGAATATTTCTACAATAAAAGTAGCCTAAGTTACTCCTTATTACATCAGCTACCTGCCAAAAAAAGTCCCGTCAAAATCGGTCCAGCTATTTCAGAGATTAGCCGGAACAAACAGACAGGCAGGCAGACAAAAATTGTACAAAATGTTATTTATGTACCGTATTTATATTCATATGCATGTAGTAAAAAACAGTTATTTCAATATTACACGACGAATATTACAAATGGGGTTGTCAGATCATAAATCTTCTTCGATCAGTTCCCGGGATATTGTATTAATCATAACATTAATACTAGATCTAAAGACAGAACTTTTTGTAACAAGTGTTTGTTACAAAAAGTAAATAGGTCTTTTATGGGAATGGGTATAAAAATTTACAATAAGATAACAAAGGATATATTGGAATTACCCTTAAATAAATTCAAAACATCTTTTAAATCATATTTACTGAGCAAAGCCTAACTCACTAACCGACTTGAATGACGAGCGTGCATGGCAATAGTTATTCATGCACGGGATTTTCATTTAATGTTAGACATAGACACCTATATAAGTAAACATTATAAATAAACTGGCTTTTTTTTTAAATATACATTTTTGCCAGTTCTTTTCAATTGAATCTGTGTACAGAACTGGACGGTAGAACTGGACGATTTTAATATAAAAAAGTGACGTTCATAAACGGCTAAAATGTCCCACACTAATAATTTTTTAATTTGAATTTGAAATAAAAAAACTACTGAGATCATAAATATTACGTACAGTTTCTGTGAAATTGATAGCAAATGGTCGAATACTTGTGTCTTGCCTCTGTCGCAGCTTCTCAGGTCCCCACCAAGCATTGTAATCAAGCTTCGGCAGTGGTGGAGGACTCTCAATGAACAGCAGGTAAATCGGATAAGCTATGACGATCAGAAGTATTATGAGTAGGACCTTCAGCATCTGAAAATAGAAACTGAATTACACAGTGACAGCCTCGGTAGTCTAGCGGTTTACTCATGCGAGTTCGATTCCTCGTCTGGTACAAATATTTGTATATAATTGTTTGTATTGGACCGACATAGTTCTCACTTTACTTAAATAAGTAAATTGCAGAAAGCAGAATTTATAACACAATTATAGAAATAGAAATAATCTTTATTCAAATAAACTCATTACAAGCACTTTTGAATAGTCATATTTTGATTCTACCACTCATCGGAATGCAGATTCATCACAAGAAGAATGAGCAAGAAACTTGTGTGTTGCTCTTTTAAATAGACGTTTCTTTTATATAATAATTACAGTATAACATATAAGAGGCATGCGATAATCAACACAGAAATCGCTACGCACTCATTATTAGTGTAATCAGATAATATTGTCAGTGCTATGGATTTTAAGTTTTTCTATAAAAACATTATTGTCGTTAACGAATTCTTCATATAGTCAATAATGTAAATATATTTATGTAATGTTTATATCATATGTAATTATCTAAATATGAAGTAATTTATTCAGATAAAACTGTACATTTAATAAGTACTTGGTATAAATGGTAGACAAAATATTGTGATTAGATTAAACCAAACAACCGGCAAGCTGTATGTATTAATTAATTATGTACAACATTTTTTTTTAAAAGAATACGAGCTGAGTTTCTATTCAATTCTTCTCACCTTGAAATCATTCCGGACTGACGGTAAATTTGACATATCATAAGAGTCTGTAATAGACCTACATCAATAAAGATATTTTGAATTTGAATTTGAATTTGAATTTCTGAAAAACTATGACGAACAAACAAACCAAAAAAAATACCGAAGAATAATAATAATATACATATAATATACGGTACCAGACAGATACAAACAAGAATAAATGTTTACACCGTGCGAGGAATCGTACCCGCGACCATCGAAAATAAAGCGGTGTACTAAACATATAGGCCAGTAGCTAGGCGGTCATAGATAAAAACAGAGAATATAAATCGAATCTATCTTTTTTTGAAATCGGTTCATTAGCAAAATCGATATCGGGTACCAGGCGATCATAAGTGAAATGAAGTTACACTGACCTTTGTAAAATTTAAATGATGTTCACATCACAAACACAACCACACACTACACGATACATTGATAAATAACTGTTTTTACACTCCGCTCTTGTCTACAAATAGTGCTCAATGTCAAAACGTTGTAAGTGAGATATAAATATAACCGTATATAGACAGTATGACTATTCAATTACGACTAAAAATGTTTCGATTTGTAATTTCACATGTTACTTTTATTAACGTACTCCAGCGAAAGGAACGATCAAATTCCAAGTTTAAAATTATAAATATATTAATTTAATACCCTAAAATATTATACTTATTTTGAAAAGATTTTGATATGTTAATAATTACTATAAAAACATAAATAGAGTTGTTTCCTATATTTATTCACTACTAGCTGTTCCCGTGACTTCGTCCGCGTGGAATGTAACTTTATTTTTCTAAAATAAAAGTAGCCTAAGTTATTCATTACAGCAACTACCAAAAAAAGTTTCGTCAAAATTAGTCCAGCCATTTCAGAGATTAGCCAGAACAAACAGACAGATAGACAAAAATTGTAAAAAATGTTATTTTGGAGTATATACCGTATTTATATTCATATGCATGTAGTAAAAAACGGTTATTTAAATATTACAAACAGACAATCCAATTTTATTTATATGTATAGATACAACTATACTAATTGCTTCTACCCACAAGTTCTTCTGCGGGTAGGGGAGGGGATTGTTAGTAATGGTTTTATTAAGAAAGACCTAGTAAGAAGTTGTTTGCGTGGTTACCTCAGTCTCAAATATTTCACCCGTTTTACTAATATTATAAATGCGAAAGTTTGTTTGTTTCGAAATCTATGAGTATGGGTGGATGTTTGTTACTCTTTCATGCAAAAACTACGGAACGGATTTTGATGAAACTTTATAATAAAATAGCTTATACATTAGAATAACACGTAGGCTATTAAGTCAAATTGTTTTAGAAAGAAAAAAAAATCCACATAAAAATTTACACTTATCCCTCTTTCGAAGTCGGCTAAAACAATACAGAGGACGCACATAATAGACCATCTAAAAACGGTATAAATTCGTTAAACCTAACTACAGTCTGTTTCCGGGAGATAATTTTGGCGGTAAATACAAATTAACGAGCGATTATTAGACGAGCGAGTAATAATCTCATTAAAAATTAACTTAAACTCATTAAAAAATATAAAACGGTCATTGTTAGCCAGTATTGCAGTACAAGACACCCGTACAAGTGTTTAATTACAATATAATTTTAATATTAATATAACTTTAGAGCTTGCAATAGCCTTGTGAGTATATTTCCAAACTATTCCGTCAGCAGAGATAGACGTTTGTTGATGTTTTAAAAAAAAATTTTCACTAAAAGATCCTGCTCATTCTGTTTATATCAGTGATAATAATATTAAAAAAAAAGAATTCAGGTATAACAACCTCCTGCATTCTGTTTTAATCTTTTTGTTAATATTAGTGATAATAGAATTTTAAAAAAAGTATTCCACTAAAAGATCCTGCTTCATTCTGTTTATATCAGTGATAATAATATTTTAAATAAAAGAATTCAGGTATAAAAAACTCCTTGATTCTGTTTTAATCTTTTTGTTAATATCAGTGATAATAGAATTTTAAAAAAGAATTCCACTAAAAGATCCTGCTTCATTCTGTTTATATCAGTGATAATAGTATTTTAAAAAAAGAATTCAGCTATAAAACCTCCTTCATTCTGTTTTAATCTTTTTGTTAATATCAGTGACAATAGAATTTAAAAAAAAGGATTCCACTAAAAGATTCTGCTTCATTCTGTTTATATCAGTGATAATAATATTTTAAAAATAGAATTCCACTAAAAGATCCTGCTTCATTCTGTTTATATCAGTAATAATAATATTTTAAAAAAAGAATTCAGCTATAAAACCGCCTTCATTCTGTTTTAATCTTTTTGTTAATATCAGTGATAATAGAATTTAAAAAAAAGGATTCCACGAAAAGATTCTGCTTCATTCTGTTTATATCAGTGATAATAATATTTTAAAAAAAGAATTCAGGTATAAAAACCTTATTGATTCTGTTTTAATCTTTTTGTTAATATCAGTGATAATAGAATTTTAAAAAAGAATTCCACTAAAAGATCCTGCTTCATTCTGTTTATATCAGTGATAATAATATTTTAAAAAAAGAATTCAGCTATAAAACCTCCTTCATTCTGTTTTAATCTTTTTGTTAATATCAGTGATAATAGTATTTTAAAAAAAGAATTCCGGTAAAAGAGCCTTAATGTTTAAATCTTTTTTTTTAACATAATTGTTAATAAATACTATTTCAAAAACAGGTAAAAGATTCACCTTCATCCTGTTTAAATGTGTTTATTTTATTTATTAATATTTAAAAAAAAATTGCTGCAAAAGAAGTTTCTTATACATTAATATTATATTTATATTATATTAATATTATGAATATTATATTTACATAAGTCGGCGGCGCTGTCCGTTCGCTTATATCTTTTATATTACGCAACAGATTTTAATGCAGTTTTTAGCATTAGATAGAGTGATTCAAGAAGAAGGTTTCTATCTGTAATACATCCGTGTAGGAGAAACCGATAAAGTCTTTATCGGTATTTATTGGTATCTTCTATAGAATCTTTTAGGTTTCTTTTTTATTAAAATTGCCCCGGATATTAATTTCCAGGTTTGCTACTAATTTATTTATACAAAACTTTTTTATTACATTTCAGGTTACAAAATTAAAAGATTTGAAATTCATTTGAAAATAAATTGAAATAAATAAATGAAATATCTGATAAATAATAAGTGCTTAAGATATAAGTGATGCGTGATATATTATTTTTTTGTGATTAAAATATATTTAGCTGGAGGTCATTAGTAACTGAATATGTTACTTATATGATCTATTTCGGTAAGTTATATATTTAGCATATTTTATCTATTTTATTAGCTATATTTAGAATAACATTAATACCCAAATTAATTGTACAAATTACTATTTTAATGCCAGCGATGAGTATAAGAATTGAATGCAATATAAATCGACCTTCACGCGGTCCCCCCTGGAAACCATCATGGTTAATTTCTAGTGTATTCATCACGAAGGGCTAACTGACCTGACTGCATGTTCATCCTATCATCCTCCACTGGTGCCCCCCAGCGTATACTGTTAGCGGATTTTTCGGTCTACTCTAATGCTTTTGACCGCATCTTCACCGGACGATAACGGGCGAGAGCAGATGGCGCTCCAACCTGCGGAAGAACTTATGGAGTGGCTGAAGGCCAACTCCTGCATAACGAATACGACTTTAGTCTGAGGGTCCGGTAGGGTTTGAACCTCGACTCAGGCTGTCGTACTTTCGATCCTCATTTGAATTGAACGAGAGATCGATCGGAGGGGGGAGCACTATTCCATAATCATCATAAAAAAAGTATAAATAGTGCGTGTTCTACGTTTATATAATAGCAATAATTTATATACAAATGAAATAACGGATAGCGTTCATTAAAAGACGTTTAAGTTATGAATTATTCATACATGAACCGTTCGAATCATTGAACCACGTTCAATGTTGCCATTTTACAACTGTTTTTCCCCAAACAATGCCATAAATCCCTAATTTTAAGATCAATACAATAGCAGAGTAAGATTTTGCTCAATGAAGCAAAATGGTTCCCCGAATTTCAGAGAGGGTGGACTCATTGCCCCCTCTGTGTTGTACCGTTTTGTCTCGTTTATTACTTTTAAATTTTATTATAAGCTGCAATTGTATTAGTTTTTATTTGAGAAAAATAAAGGTGATGATGATTATTATTAGTATTGTGTTAGTTTCCATTTAGTTGTCTAAATTTCGACATAATTGAAACTATCAGTAAGGCTTTTACATCAATTTTTATTAACAAAAACTCTCTAATCAAATCTCAAATTCCACCAAATAAAAAATTTCCCCTTAAAATTTCCCGGGTTTAGGGGTTTGTCTCGCTTTTCTAGAGTAGACTATGTGTAAGGTACTTAAAATTTTTAATTTACATTAGAAACGAATAACTGTCACGTTAAATGCACTTTACTTATTAGAGCATACGCTGAAGTACCACAATGTTTGGTTCATCTTGTCCTATATTTATATTATTTAACTAAAATTCCTTAATATTCCTACCATAATTTACTTCGAACAAATTCCTCCAAATATTTTAGCTCTCCAATTTTCCCGTATTTTAGGGTAATTGGCCACCTGGCATCACTGACTATGTGTTACATTAGAGAAGACTAGTAATCACGCCACGCTTTGTTTCACTTATTAATACTGTTCACTGGAGAGTGGCACTGTTTGAATTATCTGTCAACCTATATAATATATATTCTATGTATATTACGTATGTAAAAAAAATTACACAAATATTTTGTTAGATGTTTAGTAATCATAATACAAGCTCTGCTTAGCTTGGAACTAAACAGCGTTGTGTGAATAGTCCAGGGTTTTATATGGATTACAATGGAAAAGTACAATGTACCATGTCAGGTTGATCTCCAAGAGGTTAGCCCTGGAAACTATCATGATAAATTCTTGGTGAATTCACCACAATGGTCTAACTGACCATCATGTTTATCTTATCATCCTCCATTGGTGCTTCGCCAGCGTAAACCGTTAGCGCAGGCCGGTGCACTATTCCAATATCAACCGAATTATTATTCAAATAAACTGGTCTTATAATGTAATGAACATAAATATCAATGTAGCTATAAGTAACTTCTGCTCCTATCTTTTTTTTAAATACCCTCATCAACCTATATTAACATATGAAGTATACTGTCACTACAATATCGACAATCGAAAATATATCATTTTTTTAGGGTTTTGGGTTATTGTTAGGTACTAAGACCTGTAACACTGCGACCTGCATAGATCTATTGTGCTCGCCTTTTTCAAAGCTCGCTATCGATACCCGTGAGGGACAAGAATTGAAGGATATTCTTAGGAGCGATGGTTTTTATCTCCAATTTTAGGTTTTTATCTCAAGATAGAGTGTATACTTTCCAAAGGAGTTATTTCGTTTATGCATGGGTGGGCTACAACCACATAGGATGTATCTCAACCACGTAGGACATCTTATATCTGACTAACTTTTGCACGCGGCTTCGCTCACGTTTATTTATCCTTTTAGGGGTGGAATTTATGAAAATCCTTTCTTAGCCTGCGTTTGACGAAAGTGACGAATATTCATACAAACTTTCATTCCCTATTTTATTCCCTCGGAGGTAGAATTAATCAAAATCCTTTCTTAGCGGATGCCTACGTAATAACATCTACCTGCATGCCAAATTTCAGTCCAAACCACTGGACGGCTCGGGCGTCCAGTGGTTTGGACTGTGCGTTGTTAGATCACTATGTCAGTCACCCTTGAGTAATATATATTTAGATTACTTAATTAAAAAAATCTATTTGTCCACAGGTTACAACACTATTAAAGAGTAAAGATTCTAAAATCCATTTTCGTGTAATTAAAGTTCAGTGTATTCAAGATTTCTATTTTAAACAACAATAATGAAGGTAAGACAAAAACAACATTACAGTTTAAAGGTACAAAATAATAACGATCTTTCTAATAAGAAAGATCGTTCAGATATTGTATTTATTGAATTCAATAAATACAATATCTGAAGCCGGTGGTCTAGATGTTTAGCACGCCGCTTTACTTCCAATAGTCGCTGGTTCAATTCCTCGCACGGTGCAAACATTTGTATTCATAAATATGATTGTTTGTACCGGTCTGGATGTTTTCCATGTATATTATGTAAGTATGTATTTACAAAGAAATATAAAGTAAAGTATTTATATCAGTTGTCTAGTACCCATAACACAGACACTGCTTATCTTGGGACTAGGTGGCGCTGTGTTAATTGTCCAGGGTTATTTTTTTTATTAACATAATTAGAAAGCAAGCTACTTAACGATATAAATAAATAAGCCAGAAATATCGACTTTATACAAAGTTTACAGTACCGTATAATGATGTACTAGGTATTACTTTCAAAGTATCTCAGGTATATGTAGCTGTTATTTTATTATTTTAGTGTCTTTTGTAGGTTTATCCTACTCCATCATTAAATGTAGAACACTCTATCAGTAATACTTTACACTTAACTTTGTTATCAACAATATTTATCTCATATTTTCAGATATCAAAGTGCTTATTATTCCTTTCGGCCATTACGATTGTATTTTCTGATCCTTCATCAGACTGCCTTTTACCTATACCAGGATTGAACTATGATGCTTGGTGGGGACCTGAAGAGCTTAGAGAACTACAAGACACCAGCATCAGACCTTTTCAAGTAAACTTTACAAATGAAGTAAGTCTAATATTGTTTTAATAACTTTCTTCTAAAGAGTAACGCAGTTTAGCCCGCATTTTGCATAGTGATCTACAGTGAATGTATAGGTTTTGGGATAGACTTCATAATTATTAGAATCGTTTGTCCAAGTGCCAGTTCTGGGGTCCTTTGTCTTCCCGAGTTCCCGAGATATAACGTTTCCAAACTTTGGGAGCCATCAGATATCGCCAGCGGTGAGCATGCCGTATGCGAATGACCAGCGCCAAATTCAAATTTAGGAGAATAGAAAGATCACTAGCATATGCTATTGCAATTTTGTCAAAAGTAAATAGTATAATCAGTGTTCGTAACCCGAACAGACCAGTCCCTACAACCTACCGCACCCGTTCGCGACTATAACAGATGAACTAGCCGTCATTGCTCTCAACCATATTACAGAGAGAATATTGAGCCAGTACACTACGTCGCCACAAGTATTAAGTTTATAGCGATCCTTCTCTTTATTCACCAATGAATTGTCCTGATTTAATTAATTCCCATTCCAGATGACTCTGGATCTGCTGTATCGTTTAAAACATCGCCGGCAATTGATTCCCTCATTAGAAGGTGTTTGGTTCGAGTATGGTATAAATTCTGATGTAGTCGAAGAATGGTTAACATACTGGGAGAACGACTATAACTTTAAATATAGGGAGAAAGTTTTGAATAGTGTTCCACATTACAAAACTAATGTACAAGGTTTGGATATCCACTTCGTCTGGGCAAAACCTCAGGTAAATCTAAGTTTTACACCACAAAAATAGCCTAATAGTCTAAAGTATCTTTAGTATTACGTCAGCAACAAACAAGTTTCTTGATCATTCTTCTTGTGATGACTCTGCGTTCCAATTGAGTGATTTCAAAAATATAACAATTCAAAAGTACCAACACGAGTAGAGATAATTCAACTCGAGTTGACACATCTCTAATATTACAGTTATGAGTTTATTACCACAATTGTTATTTATTTCCAGGTATTAGATCATATACAAGTAGTACCTCTATTACTACTAAATGGTTGGCCGAGCTCATTCGTAGAGTTCCTCGAAGTGATTCCTCGACTTGTAGCTCCGGATGCACACCGAGAGTTTGCAGTAGAAGTAATTTCTCCATCGTTACCTGGATTTACATTATCTGAAGTTAGTACTATTTTAAATCAAATGTTAAATGATAAGCCTCCTAACTACAAGCTAATATGTTTGTATAATTGCATTGCTGTGGATTCAGTGCTTTTTTTCGGACTACTCTAATGCTGTTGGCCGCAGCCTTGACAGCTTCACCGAATGATAGGGGGCGAGTGCAGATGGCACTCCAAACCAAAGGAACTGAATGTGGACTTAGATATGACAATTGAGTGATATATATTGTCATTTACTAACATAGTTTTTAAGTTCTTTACTAACGTAATATGGATGAATATCAGAATTAAATAAATAAATTGTACATTTCACAGATTACTATCGTCATTTACATATATTATAGTGACGTGCTCTAGTGGTTTACTATCTTGAATTACGCCCAAGAGATCGTAAGTTCAAATCTCGGTGAACCAGAGATTTCCGGTGAAGAAAATATTAATATCAGATTAAAAATTAATCCAAGAGACGGGGCAGTAGACTTATCCACTGTCTCGTTAGATTCTAAATGTACCGATTAAAATAGTCATGTCAAATACTTCGTTGATGGTCGATGTTGAATCTTGTAGATGACAAGATTAAACATCGACCGTTGACAATGCCTCTGATTACCCAGAATTACTGTCAAGACAGTATCTTATGTTTTATATGTTAAAATATAATTAACTGAAGTCCCTAGACCTTTCTTCTCGATTTTAGTAGCTGGCTGAACTTAGTAGTAGGATAGAGTTTTGTATTAGAATAAATTATTTTCTCACAGGGAACAACTCGTCCTGGCTTAAGTGCTGTGGACATGGCAGTCATATTCAGAAACCTTATGCACAGGCTTGGGCATCATGAGTATTATGTACAAGGTGGAGATTTTGGCTCAATGGTAGCCAACGGTTTAGCTACATTATTCCCTCAGGTATCAGGTTTACTTGTTTATCTTTAATCTTAATTTACTATAATATAATATAATTAGATTTATTAGAGGATTGTTAGAAATGTGGCTGATGACCCCATGCTATCAATGTATCATGTCAGCTTGATCTCCACGTGGATGTCTCTTTCCTTTGGATTTATCTAATTACCACTGCATATATTTACTTATATTGAGTACCTCAGTGGTCTAGCGGTTTAGCACACCGTCTTACTTTCAATGGTCGCAAGATCGATTCCTCGCACGGTACAAACTTTTGTATGAAGAGGTAAAGGAAATTGTTAATAATGTGGATTGGTGATGACCCCATTGCTACCAATGTACCATGTCATATTGAAATCCACGCGGTTTCCCCTGGAAATCATCGTGATTAATTGCTAGTGAATTTACCACGATGTGCTAACTGACCTGACCTCACGCTCCCATCACCCTCCATTGGTACCTCGCCAGCGTAAACCTTGCGCAGGCTGGTGAACCATACCAGTCAGTATCATCCATAAAAAAATGATGTCAATAAATGAGCAGATCCCGAAACTTTGTAATTTGTTTTCCATTTGATTGCTGTTTCCTGGGATAAGACCCATGCTATATTCTAAATGAGATCTCTGATTATTAATTATACATTGATAATAACTTCATTTAATTTAATGCAATAGTTTTTGCGTGATGATTACACGAACATATAGATAGACAATAATTTATATGTATAAATGATTATTAATCAGACTAAAGTTTCTGATTATTACAGGAGGTTCTGGGTTATCACACCAATCTACCGTATTTATTATCATTGCCAGCAAGACTACCTTCGCTAGCTTCTCTCCTTATACCCGATATGGGTAATTCGATATATGCTGGTAATAATACTAAAGGGAGAACATCCGAAGATAATATTCAGCAATTAGCATATTTGTACTATCAATCTACTAAATCAGACACACTTGGTAAGTTTTTTTTGACGACCTTAGTTGTTTAGCTATTAATGTACTGCAATTTTTTCAATAATAATAATATCAGGATAATTCACACAGCGCCATCTACTCCCAAGTTAGGCTAACTAAAGATTGTGTTACGGATACTAGATAACTGATACAAATAAATAGATATTTTTTTAATAAATTACATATTATACTTAGAAAACACCCAGACCGATACAAACATTACATTCATGAATACAAATGTTTGTGCCGTGAGAGGTATCGAACCCGCGGCGGAAGTAAGGCGGTGTGCTTACCGCTAGACCACCGAGGCCGTCAAATATAATAATTAATTGTAGGTTTGATTCCTCTATACCAGTGATTCCCAAAGTGGTCTACATCGACCCCCAGGGGTATATGACAAACTGCAAGGGGTCTACGACAGCGGTCATCTTATTGTTTTCACTTTATGTTTTTAACACTAAACTTTACTACAGTTAGAAATTGACAAAAAATCAATACCAGGTAAGAGTGGGGGTCTACCCAAAACCAAAAAATATGGTAAGGGGTCTACTATACAAAGAGTTTGGGAACCTCTGGTCTATACAAACCAATTTTCTGAATAAAAATAACATATTAAAAAAATATTTGAATAAGTTCGTTATCTAGAATTATTATTTCAGGAATGGCCTTAAACGAATCTCCAACAGGTTTACTTGCATATCTTCTAGAGAAGTTTCATTTCGGCTCCGTATTGGACAGAAGAGAAAACGCTGGAGCGAGACTCGACTCTATTATGCCTAGAGATAAGGTTCTGGATACAATAACACTTTATTGGATGACGAGATCTATTACGACCAGCATGAGAATATATGCAGAGGTATTTAATAGAAGGACATTTGCTATGAATATTGATGAGTAAGTTATTATATGTCTTCTTCTTTCTTCTTCTGTTTTCTTCTTTCGTCCTCTTTCTTCTTCTTCTTTGCATAGTTCTTCACAATGTTTATGTTAAACTTCGTATCTTAAACATTAATGCAGAGTTATAATACATTGAAACCATTGTAATTAAATAATTACTAAATTATATTATAGCTAATTGGATTCCAGGGTTGAAAGAAAAAAATATTTATTCACTGTAAATTAGAAACAAAAAAAGTAAAAATATTGATAATGTTAGTACCAGAATTACAGACAGTAGTCTTACTAAAGGCGTTGATTCATAGTATACAAAATATGTATTATTTATACAACTTGAAAATATTATACAGGGGGTTATATTTATTTGTTTGAATATTACTTTCTCTATATTTCTCTATGGATACTTAATAATTTTTACATTTATAACATTTATAAAAAGTAACATTATCAGGAATTAAAACGAGCAGATTCTATTACTTAAACAACAAAACAATAACAACCTGTCTACCCTTAAAAAGCCCGTGTTTTGTTTTAGAAGTTTAGAGATACGTGCAACCAAACTATCTATGCCAAACCGATGCTGATCGCGGTTTAACTGTGAAGCAAAAAACGAATAACATTAATATAATACCCGAGCACAATTCACACAGCGCCATCTAGTCCCACTTTAAGCAGAGGTTGAATTATAGGTACTAGATAGAAATAGAAATAGAAATAATCCTTATTCAAATAAACTCATTACAAGCACTTTTGAATAGTCATATTTTGATTTTACCACTCATTCGGAATGCAGATTCATCACAAGAAGAATGAGCAAGAAACTTGTGTGTTGCTCTTTTGAATAGATGTTTTCTTTTATAAAATAATTACAGTATAACAAGTAACAGGCATGCGATAATCAACATAGAAATCGCTACGCACTCATTATTAGTGTAATCTGATAATATTGTCAGTGCTGTGGATTTTAAGTTTTTCTATAAAAACATTAAATTCAAATTCAAAAATCATTTATTCATGTAGGACATTTTAGCCGCTTATGAACGTTAAATTTTTACATTCTAATTTTATTTTTTTTCCCTACCGTCGTTATTATTGTCGTTAACGAATTCTTCAATTTTATAGTAAGCGTTTTTGCAAAGGAAGTGTTTTATATGACATTAAAATTTTTTTCAGGTAGATTTATAACGGACTCTAGTATTTTGTTGTAAAACCTTGCGCAATTGCCATAAAAATATATAGGTATAAATACATAGACCGATATTACATTATATACAATTTTTTGTACCGTGCTAGAATCAAACCCGGTATACTATTCCGCTAGACCACCGAAGCCGTCAGAAAACAAGATAAAAATAATTTTCATCTGATTCCAGGATCAGGACACCAGTCCCTACATGGGTCTTGGAGGCGAAGTACGAAATATCAGGATTTTCAACTGGAACACTCCAGAACAAGTATCCTAACCTGATCCAACACAGGACTTTAGAATATGGTGGTCATTTCCTACCGATCGAATTGCCTGAAATGTTCTCCAACGATGTACTAGATGCCATCACAGCATTTAGAAGCTGGCATATTAGGAATAAACGGAGAAATGAACTGTAACAATGAAGTATCGTCGATTATCTCACTGCTGGAATAACATACCACCACCTATTCAAGATCTAAAATCAATTCACACTTTTAAACGACACCTAAAAAAATACTTCATGCAGGCACAAAAATCAATCTAGGCAAAAATACATTACCAATTTATATATCTGTATCTTTATATACCCTCTCCTGTATCTCTTTTATTTGACTGTATTTATATCTATTCTCGCCTTGTCATTTGTGTACTATCTCTATTTTAGCTAAATGTGTATTTATGTATATTAATTTATATCAATTTATTATATATTAAGTATTATATCATATCATAAATCGTGTACAACATGGCAATACACCACCCTAGGTCTTGTGCTGAAAAACAGCGTTGCAGCGCTCCAGCCGCTGCAGGATTATGCTGAGCACGGACCTATTCAGTGGATGCTTCGACAGACATACACATGCACGCACACTCGCACATACGTAATTTGTGTACTGTTATTTGTTTGTAATTGTTCGCACTATTTGTTATTCTATTTTTTGTTTGTTTAATGTGTGTTTTAGTTTTCTACTGAATAAATATAATTTCATTTCATTCATTTCATTTCATTAATAAGGAAAACATTTAGAGTATTCAGAAAAATGGTGAGATAATCTAGATGCATCTACAGACAGCCCTAAGATCAGTGGCAATTTACAAACACGGCAGAGAGGATTTAACATCGCTTCTATGTTGGCTTCTAATAGAATAGAATAGCATAAAAATCTTTATCTTTATTAAAATAAACATAATTTTAAACACCTATAGAAGTCATACTTATTTTTCAATCTACCGCTCATACAAAAAGCTGCTAGCAATGTATGGTACATTCACATAAGGATATGATCAGGTGGATCTCCACGTGGTTCCCCTAAGAAACCATCGTGATAAGTTCACGGTGAAACTATGATGTGCTAACTGACCTGACCTCATGCTCATCTTATCATCCTCTACTGGTGCCCCGCCAACGTCAATCTCTCATACCTAACTTCTATTATGTTCATATACCGCCCAATCGACAATTTTATCTATACATATAAATAAAATTGGAGTGTCTTTTTGTAATATTGAAATAACCGTTTTCTACTACATGCATATGAATATAAATATATACACAAGGTACATACACCAAAATAACATTTTTTTACAATTTTTGTTTGTCTATCTGTTTGTTCCGGCTAATCTCTGAAATGTTTGGACCGATTTTGACAGGACTTTTATTAGAAGGTAGTTGATAATAAGGAGTAACTTAGGCAACTATTATTCTAAAAAAATATAGTTAAATTCCACGCGGACGAAGTCGCAAGTATATATATGATAACAATAGCATGCATTTCTGACCTGTGTTATCATTGATTAATTAAACATAATTTTCCATTCAATAATTTGTATTGCACAATAGTAACTATCGACGTTTTACAGGAATAAATGATTTTTTCTTTTGCATAATTATTTCAGGTAACAAAGTTTATCTTCTATATATATATACATTTATACTTCATTTTAGCGAATAAAATAAGAAGCACAATTCATATAACGGCATCTAGTCCCAAGCTAAGCAGAGCTTGTGTTATAGATACTAGTGAACTGATATAATTATATTTTTTATGAAAAATATAAATAAGAAACATCTAGACAGATACAAGTAGTAATAGTTATGAATGAAAATGTTTGTTCGGTGCACGGAATTGAATCCGTGATTATCGGAAGTAGGGTGGTCTGCTAAACCGCTAGACCAACGCGGGCTGTATCTTTTATTTTAGGAATGATAATGGTGCACTCGCCCGCGCTAACGGCCAACTATGAGGCCAGGTCAGTTAGCTAGCTCATCGTGGCAAATTCACCAGGAATTTAACATGAAGGTTTCCAGGAGAAACCGCGTGGTGGTCAACCTGACTACATAGCTAGCAATGTATCGTACATTGCTAGCTATGGGATTTTTAATCCACATTACTAACAATCCCTTTATCCCGAGGGCTGCATTTAAAGAAGGGCTGTATTTTTTACAGAATTTGTGGTTGACAACTAGTTTGTAATATTACTAGGTACTCGCCCCGGCTTCGTGCGGGTGTACATGTATTATACATATAAATCTTCCTCCTGAATCTCTCTATCTATTTAAGAAAACCGCTTCAAAATCCGTTGCTTAGTTTTAAAGTTTTAAGCATACATAGGGACGGCCAGCACACACACACGACAGCGACTTTATTTTATACTGTGTAATAAATCTATACATATAAATAAAATTGGTCTGTTTGTAATATTGAAATAACCTTTACTTCATGCATATGAATATAAATACAGTACATACACCAAAATAATTTTTTTTATAATTTTTGTCTGTCTGTCTGTTTGTTCCGGCTAATCTCTGAAATGGCGAGATCGATTTTGATGGGACCTTTTTTGGCAGGTAGCTGATGTAATAAGGAGTAACTTAGTCTACTTTTATTTTAGAAAAATATAGTTAAATTCCACGCGGACGAAGTCGCGGGTACAGCTAGTAATGAATAGAATATCATTTCATTGATATGGATTACTAAAAAGATAATATATACGTTCTGGTTAGAAATATTATTAAAGTCAGTATTGTGAGGTGATTAGTGCAAGACAGTAATATTATCAGTGGAATCAATTTTAAGGTATGATAACGTATACATTTAAGCCTATATAAGATAAAGTAATTAGACAATTTAATAATTATCTAGTACAATTATTACTATTGAAAATTTTGTAGCCTAGTGGTTTTTTAAAGTATGATTATATATTTATTTATTTATATGGGGATTCAGTGGATTATAGCAATTAATATAATTGAATCTCGTTTTGATCACAGTTGCACGTTACTTATACCAGTTACTTATTGTAAACTTATTTATTACTTACTTATTTTAAACTAACAGTACCCGCGACTACGTCCGCGTGAAATTTAACTTTATTTTCAATCACCAATCAATACCTGGAGACTCAATTTCTTAGTTTTCAAACCTAACATGGGCAACAGAATCATTATCAAATTATCATCAAATTAGCCGAATATAAATAGAGTCGTTATAATATATATTTTATTCCTATAAGCATATATAAGCGAAGAAGTGTTTCAAAAGGTTAAAAAACAGAGACAGATCATAGATATTGTTGAGAATAGGCGGGGGAAAATGTTGGGGCACTTGATACGACACGACGAACTAATTAACAACATTATAGAAGGAAAAATAGATGAAAAAAGAGGAAGGAGAAGACCACGACACAGCTATATCAAGCAAGTTAAAGAAAAAGTTGGAGTCGTGTTGTATCAACAGCAAAAATTTCTGATAAAAGATCGTGGAAGATGGCATATATAGCATAATACTACTAGTATGTAATGATTTCGTCAATGATTTTTTTTTAAGTAATAAAATACAAAAGAGGTAGCGTATACTTCTTTCTCTTTTAAATGACAATACACAGAGTCTCAATTTCTTTGATTTTAGAACTAACAGGTGAAGTATTCAAATAGAGCCAATGGAATATGTATTTTATTCCTATGACCATAGACAATACAATACTACCAGCACAGATAAGAAAATATTCTACTAGCATGTAATGATTTTCCTTTTTTTAAGTAATAAAATGCAATTTAGCAAAGAGTTTGCATATAATTCTTTCTCTTTTAAATAACAATACCTGGAGTCTCAATTTCTTTGATTTTATAACAAACACGGGCAGCTGAATTTAAATGGAGCCAATGAAATATGTATTTTATTCCTATGACAATAGATAATATAATACTACCAGTACAGATAAGAAAATAGTATGTAATGATTTTATCAATGATTTTTCTTTATTATGTAAGTAATAAAATACAGTTTAGGAAAGTGGTTGCGCATAATTCTTTCTCTTTTAAATGACAATAGAGTCTCAATTTCTTTGATTTTATAACAAACATGGGCAGTCGAATTTAAATGGAGCCAATGAAATATGTATTTTATTTCTATAAGAATACGTAATATAATACTACTATCATGTAATGATTTGGTCTAAAATTCACAGTCATGGCCACGAGGTCACTTCTGTAGCTATCATTAATTTAATCATCTCGTTGATATCAAAGAAACATGACAAGGTCGTTCAATGGTCAACAGCGACAATATACCTATCGAAATTTGAATGAAATTATAATATAGGCATTGTAGGTATATTTGTAAAAATGAAGAAGAATAAAGAATAATAACCCGAGATAGCAAGTATGACAACTTGCGTCCTGTGCCCAAGAAGGGTTTTTTTAGTGGATGATAAAGGAAAGATGCACCCGCCTGCGCTAACGGGTTACGCTGGATCAGTGGAGAATGATAGAATGAGCATGAGCTCAGGTCAGTTAGCCCATCATGACAAATTCACCAGGAATTTATTAGGATGGTTTTCAGGGGGTACCGCGTTGAAGTCTACCTGATATGGTACATTGCTAACAATGGGGTGGTTAATCCACATTACTAACAATTAGGGTACTAACAACCCAAGAAGGGTTGACGATAGACAGGCGGACGGCCATTAAAAAAACTGCCAAAACCATTCGTAATATGATGATGTAGGTATATTTGGGTAATTTAGGCTAATTAGGCTCAATAAATTCAATTTATTTTGTTTGTATTAATTTTAATAATAACAATAATCTCAGGACAATTCATACAGACCCAAGTTAAGCTAGCTAAAGCTTGTGTTATGGGTACTCTAGATAACTGATACAAATACATAGATACATTTTTTAAAATGTATATTAATGTATATAATGTATATACATACATATATCTACATATGCATATCATGCGAATGAATACAACTGTTTGTACCGTGCGAGGAATCGAACTGTGACCATAGGAAGTAAGGCGGTGTGCCAAACTGCTAGACCACCGAGCCGTCAAATTTAATAAGTATAAACTTCAAATATGATACGTATATTTACAGATGGCGAAAGCCGTATTCCTGTTATTGGTGCCTTTACTGGTCCTCATAGGTCTTCCGATTTACTGCCTATTCCTGAAGAGTCCTCCACCACTGCCAGATATCGACACCAATGCCTGGTGGGGCCCAGAGAAACTAAAGCAGAAACAAAACACCAATATCAAGGACTTCAAAATAAAGTTTACGGAACTGGTAGGATACATTAAAAAAGAAATTCAAAAATCGTTTATTCGTGAAGGATATTTTACTTATGTCAGACAAGTTTTTCTTTTAAACCAGTTAGTTACTATTTAGATATATTACAGACAGGTTAAGCATACTACGTCTATGTATGTCTTATCAAATTAGATATATGTCTCAGGAATTGTTCGACATAATGCCGAAAGGTAGCCGTAGGGCTACCTTTTACCATCCCACCGCTCGCCATCGACAGGGAATTCATCCCCACACGTTAGAACCTATGTGGTCTCGGGCAGTGCGGTTTCAGAGGAGCTTCCTCCCGCGTACACTTAGATTGTGGAATGAACTACCTCCCGAGGTTTTCTCACGAGACTACAGTATGGGGTTTTTCAAGAAGGGTATATTAAGGTTTCTTAAGCGTCGGCAACGCGCACGTGACATCCCTGGTGTTTCAGTCGTCCATAGGCTATGGTAACCATTTACCATCAGATCGACCGTAGGTTTGTTTGCCATGATAGTAGTATAAAAAAAATGTCTCACCAATATACATAATTGAATACCACCAATATACATACGTGTATAACTAATTTGGTTTATGTACCTATTTGAGATATGTTTAAATCAATTTCCACTAATTAATACATTCACGTTTAAGCCCATAAATGTAATTTTAATGTAATTTAACGTGTTATAATTTAAGATAGTGTCACGAAGACTGACATATATTTTTGTATAAAAACAGATGAAACAGACAAAGTAGAGGGTAACAGCTAGGTTATATGCAAACAAACGAATTGTTTAAATAATAGTGAGGGGATTCTCGATTCGATTGTATTATTTTATGTGTGTTTCACTTACAAAAAAAATTATAATGTAACACAATATATATTCATATTTGAACCATACGAGAAATTGAACTCGTGACCATCGGAAATCAATGACCGTCATATGTGGTACAATATGGTCCGCCACTATAAATAATAACTTTTCATTTGTAATATTTCTTCTAGATCGTAACCGAGTTACAAAGGCGTTTGAGAAAACACGCCACTTTCACGCCTCCCCTCGAAGGAGTTGCGTTCGAGTATGGGTTCAATTCTGATATTATAGAAAACTGGATAACATATTGGAGAGAGGAGTACCCGTTCGAAGAACGGGAGAAATTCCTGAATCAGTTCCCGCAATACAAGACCAATATTCAAGGACTGAATATTCACTTCTTAAGGATTAAACCCGATGTAAAGTATCAGTCTAATATAAATATGTATGAAATTGAAATGTCAATGATTTTGTATTTAAGATTATTTTTTATTCTAAGGAATTTGCTGTCAAGAGATATTTCTGTTATTTTAGATTTATGTGAATAATTAAAAATATATTTGTAATAGGTACCACAAAACGTGGAAGTAGTACCAATGCTGTTACTCCATGGATGGCCAGGCTCAGTGCGAGAATTCTACGAAGCCATACCTCTCCTCACGGAAGTAAGCAAGGATAGAGATTTTGCTATAGAAGTCATCATACCAAGTCTCCCTGGATATGGATTCTCAGATGTAAGTACAATTATTAACGTAATTTATAAGTTTCAGGAATAAATATTTTCAGTAATAATAATTAAAAAAGAACAATCCCATAATGCAAATTCAATTCCAATAATGATAATCTATAAAAAGTTAGCTATGAAATAATCGACAAAGTAGTAGTGTTAATTCTAGACAGCAATTTGACTTGGCAATCTGAAGTAGAAGACTAGACTTATAGGTTTTTTTTTTATAATTAATAATGATATAGAATTTAACGATTTATTAGATCGTAAGTGCAAATTATCACCTTCAATGTCTTATCTCATTCTTCAATCAAAACACATCGTACAAAGAATCTATTTGGGAGATGAAATGGGTGAGGAGAGTAAGGTGTACGCGGACGATTTTCTAAGCTACCTTGATAATAATAATATAGTTAATCAACATTGTCTGTGATTCTTTCAGCATATGAGTATTGACAGCTACATTAATAAGTAAATTCATTCATTCAAAGAATTAGGAAACTGATAATAATTATAGTTAGAAATTAATATCAGTTGTGAGGGGATAGTGTATCGAGTCATCTTTATTCCTTTACCGTTCTACTTGCTTAGAGGAACTGTTCAATTAAATAATTGATTTATAATATTTTCTTTTTCCAGGCGGCTATACGCCCAGGTCTAAGTACAGTAGACATAGCTGTCATCTTCAGAAACCTGATGCACAGACTTGGACATAATAAGTTTTACGTTCAGGGAGGCGATTGGGGCGCTATTATAGGGTCTAACTTAGCTACTTTCTTCCCAGATGTAAGAATTTCTTATTTGAATATTTTGAAGAAATATGAGTTCATTCATTCATAATTTAAGTGGTACGCTCTTGTCGGTGGAGCTCTTGCCACTTTCCACGATCTTCCATCACGCATCATATTAAGATAAATAGATGAAATATACTTTATTTGTAACATACAGTAAAGAAAAGATAAACAATATAGTAAAAAGCAGAAGTATAATTACAATAAGGCAGGTTTGTTGCTGAAAGTATCTTTTTAAGGCTACCTTAGGGAAACCGATTTAAATTTCTAACAGGTAGGTAACATGCAAAAGGAGAAAAGAAAATTAATACAAACATGTCATGAGATAATATCCGTGAAGCTGTTCATGTACATATACTATAGGAGACGGTTACCGATAATTATCTTGACCTTTAGCATGTTTGCCATTCCTATTATATAAAAAAAGATCTGATGCACCTCAAACATAACGACTTCTTTACATTCCAGGAAGTGCTCGGATATCACTCCAATATGGCATTCTCAACGGCACCGGCAGCTACCATTTTCTCCATCATTGGTTCTTTCTATCCACCATTAGTAGTAGAACCAGAGTATGCTGATAGAATGTATCCCCTTTCTAAATTTTACGCCAAATTACTTGAAGAGTTAGGGTACTTACATATACAGGCTACGAAACCGGACACAATTGGTAAGTATTTAGGTGTACGACCATTATTTTAAGGTTCTAGCGTTTCACACATCGCCTTATTTTCATTAAAGTGAAATCTGGCATGTTTGAAGCATTCATGAGTATGATTGTTTGTTTTCTCCGTAGTTATATTTAGACCGTGAGACGAACTTCTTAGCATTCCATCCGGATCCATCGTGTAGCAGATAGGGAAACTCCCAGCAGTTCCCGGGACTTTTGGCCCGGGTGTAGGTGTAACTGGACTGGCCGACGTACGTGTATGTCAACATGTGTGTATATTTAAGTATTTCTATCGAGTGATTGGATTCCATAGAACAAGATCGTCTTAGTTTGATCCTAGATTAGACCCTTGTGTAAATTTTGCAACGTTTCAACTAGGCTGCACTAGCCAAGGTCAGAAGCTGGCTGCATACATTTTAAATACTTACTGTCAATCGTAACCACATTTGGTCTCCATGAACCTTAAGCTGGTTTGAAATTCCCGGTAACCAAATTTGTGTTTTCCAGGAATCGCGTTGACTGATTCCCCTTCTGGTCTCCTCGCTTACATCCTGGAGAAGTTTTCGTCTTGGACAAATATGGAACATCGCTCGAAGAAAGATGGAGCTCTGGAATTCCGTTTCACTAAAGAACAATTGATAGACAACCTTATGTTCTATTGGGTTCCTAGATCGATTACAACCTCTATGAGGTTGTACGCAGAAAATTTCAACAAACGGTTGCTGTCAATGAATCTGGATCAGTAAGTAAATTATCTTTAATGATTTCAGTGACGTTGCAAGTACTAGACTAACATAATACATATGTATTATCTTATATATATTATATACTAGCTTTTGCACGCGGCTTCGCTCGCGTTAATTTATCCCCTTAGGGGTGGAATTTATCAAAATCCTTTCTTAGGGGATGCCTACGTCGTAGTAGCTTTATGCATGCAAAGTCTCAGCCCGATCGGTTTAAAATTGACAAAGTTTCATACAAACTTTAATCCCCTATTTTATCCCCTTGGAAGTAGAATTAATCAAAATCCTTCTTCTTTGCGGATGCCTACGTCATAACATGTACCTGCATGCCAAATTTCAGCCCGATCTGTCCAGTGGTTTGGGCTGTGTGTTGATAGATCACTGTATCAGTCAGTCACCTTTGAGTTATATATATTTAGATGTATTTAAAAAAAAATATAGCTATGTTTTTATTTACATACCCATAACACAAGCTCTGCTTAGCGTGGGACTAGATGGTGCTAAGTGAATTGTTGTGAGATTATTATTATTAATATAAATATGTAATATTATGTTATCTGTGATATAAATAATGCTAAAAATATTATTTATGCATTATATATATTCATATTCAATATATATTTCTTGCAATTGTCCTGGTATTGCGGGTGCTCATGAATGGTAATCGCTTACCACCAGGTGAACCGCAAAATTTTTTTCCCCTGTGCTGTAAAAAAAGGAATTTGACGACGTTAGGTACATAATATTACTATCATTTCAGAATACCAACACCTGTTCCATCTTGGTTCATCCAAGCTAAACACGAAGTGGCATACCTACCAGCGTGGATTATAAGGTGGAAATATCAAAACTTGCAGAATGTTACCGTCATCGACGACGGTGGTCACTTTTTAGCCCTAGAATTACCAGAATTGTTTTCAAAGGATGTGCTTAAAGCTGTGGCAGCTTTTAGAAACTTTCACAAACAGAATAAAGCTAAGACTGAGTTATAAGAAATTTTATAAATAAATTGATTTCACACTGTATCTTGTTTTAGTTTAGAAGATATGTATGTTGAAACAGTCAGGAAAGAGGAAGGGGATTGTTAGTAATGTGGACTAGTAACCCCATTAGCTCGCTAGCTAGTAATGTACCATGTTAGGTTGTCCTCCACGTGGTTTCCCCTGGAAACTATCATGTTAAATTCACGGAGAATTTACAACGATGGGCTAACTGACGTGACCTCATAATTACCTCATCATCCTCAGCTGGTGCTCCACCAGCCTAATATATTCTTGCATCAAAATTAAAATAAAAAATTGACTGTCTATATGTTTATTCCTGCTAACCTCTGAAAGTGCTGGACCGATTTTGACAGGACTTTCACTCGCAGATAGCTAATGTTATAAGGATTTACTTAGGCAACTTTAATTTACAAGTTTCATAATTTTTTATAAAAAAAATAATAACCATGCGGTCGATGTCGTAAATCCCCCAAGTTACAAATAAGCAAACAGATCTTTCTCTTTATATATACATATTTATACACGTATATACTTTTTTTAATCTAAGTATAGTAAAATCTGTAATAATATATATTAGTACAGATGTAAAGAAAATACATATAAATAATTATATATTAAATATGTATATATAGAGATTTTTAGTCCACTATTGTATATAGGCAACAGTTGCCTTTCTGTGAGTCGTCATTTCTTATTTACTAGCTACTTGCCCCAGCTCCGCACGGGTGTACATGTATTATATATATCAATCTTCTTCTAGAATCACTCAATTAAAAAAAATGCTTCAAAATCCGTTGCGTATTTTTAAAGATTTAAGCATACATAGAGACAGACAGCGACAGCGACTTTATTTTATACTACATATGTAATGATAAATACATGCCGTTACAGTTAAATTAAAAAAAGTAAATAATAGCGTAAGCGTGGTATTTCCGAACCGATACGATATTGAAACCTTCAAGAAAAGAGCTCATTCCTTTTTAAGGGGTCTTCCTATGTGACGGCCTGTTTTTTAGGGATATTTTAGGATTTTTTTCTACGACCAGTAAATATTTAGAGCTTCAAGTTTTTTATCATTTATTAACACATATTTGGACAGTATAAATATAAAATTTCAGCTAAAAATATTCAGTCAAACTAGACTTACAGCGCTCTGAACACCCCCGCCTCGAAAAAAGAGCTCCCACTTCCTCCACGATTCCGGCTGATCGGCTTATCTGAAAAAAAAAAAAAAAACGGCGTTTTAATTTGTAGGCTTAAAAGCACGGAATGACCTATAATCAAATTAATATAAAAAAAATTGGATTTTTGATAGACATTTGAAATAAAAGTTGCAAATTAGGCGTTTTTTTTTTGTTTTTTGCTATAAAAAAATCGAAGTTTTCAAAATTTTCGATTGATAATAGTTCATTCCATGCGTTTACATATATTGAGTGTGCCCTGTAAATTTCAAGTAATTCGGTCCAGCCGTTTCTGAGATACAATGGAGGAAAGTTTGAAAAACACAGTTTTGAGAAAAACGCGTTTAAAGTTTCAAGTCCGTTAAAAACTATTAAAATATCAACTTACTCTCAATCGGCGATGCCTGGTCCATAGAGTATTCCTTCCTCTTCCTCGTGAAGCAGATTGTTCAGCTCTTGAGTCAATCCTGGATTGTTTAACGACATCACTTACGCGCCGCTCAGAGCGTAAGATTCGCTTTTCATCCCGTTTCTCAACATACGCTTGGGCTTCACGACCAACAGGGCATCCCATAATCGACATAACTTTTAAAATACCTTGAAAACCTTCATTAAAGATAATAACTGCTAAGTAGCTAGCAATTTCAACAACTTTGGGACCAGAATGAAGATGTTTAGGAGCGAAAGTCCAAATCAAAGAATTCAAAGATTCGTTATTGTTTTGCGTCTCTGCTCCTAAACAACGAATTAATAATTCGTCTTTCGATAAATCTTCGAAAACCGGTTTGATAGCTTCTTGGACTTGCGGAATTAGAGGTGGTTTATCGTGATGAAATTGGTCCAGTTCATTATTAGCTTCAGCCTTACGCCATTTACACCAACTGTCTTCGCCTTCTGGACAAAATTGATGCTGAGGGTTTTCATCAGAAGAACATTTGTGATAGTACGTTGCCCAAACTTCCTTTCTCATATCTTCAAGCGAATCTGGATGGCGTCGAATTGCTAATCCGTAGAATTTTGTAAAATATTATAACAATAGAAATTTCTGTTTAAGTCTGTAGAAACGTGTCTAAACTTGTATAAACAAATATATTAATAAAAGGGAGGCCAGGTATAAAGCCGACGGTACACAATAGGCCCGGTCTCTAACTGCCAACTCACCGCTCCGAACCGCTCTTTCTTTTACCTGCTGTATCTTTAAAACGACTTCGAATTTTCTAAAATCGCTTTACTACCGTATTCTAGACATGTTAAGGGAGCAATTTATGAAAAAAAAAATCGATTTTTTCAACCCATCACATAGGAAGACCCCCTTAAAAGGCCGACAACGTACTTGCAATTCCCCTGGTGTTGCGGGTGCTCATGGGCGGCGGTAATCACTTACCATCAGATGAGCCGCATGCTCGTTTGTCTCCTGTGTTATAAAAAAAAGTAAAAGTATTATTTACTTTTTTTTAACGAATTGTAAAAATACCTTGTTACCATGTCAAAATTATAATTAAATCTCCAGATAACAATAAAATTATAACAGATAAACATATATTACATATACATTATATTAGTCATATCAGTTGTTATCAAACCAAGATTACTGTGATAAACAGACGGTATTCTATTTTAGCGTAGTGATTGAAAACATCTAATTACAAAACGTGGCATGCACTAAGAAAGTTCGCTTTTTCATATTATTTCGTTAAGTTATATTAAAATTGAATAGAATCTATAAAATAAAATTTCAGTGTCTATTTCTAATATTGAAATAACCGTTTTTTACTACATGCATATGAATATAAATACGGTACATACACCAAAATAATATTTTTTACAATTTTTGTCTGTCTATCTGTCTGTTTGTTGAGGCTAATCTCTTAAATGGATGGACCGATTTTGACGAGACTGTTATTGGGAGGTAGCTGATGTAATGTGGAGGCTTATTGTAGAAAAATGTTTGTTTTAGAAAATGAAAGTTAAATAGCTACTTCATCCCACGTCCGCATGAGACGAAGTAGCTAGTATTATAATATATATATTAATTTTTATGTTATAATATTCTATTCTATTAAAAAAGAAATTAACAAAACTGAAATTTAAACACCTATAATACGTAATATATTTTTTTACTACTCGGTTAGATGAACTCAATCATGAAGGACAAAGCAATTTGTAGGTTGCTCTTTTAAAGAAATGTACATAGAAACTTTACATTTATTAGTAATTTTATTAAAAACTATTAAATAAAACAAATAAGTATATTAGAAGCCTGCTCAAATAAACTTGACGCGTTAGCGTAGGCGGATGCACAATATCATTATTAAAAAAGATGCATATAAACCTTCCTCTTGAAACACTCTATCTATTGCTAAAAATAGCATTAAAATCCGTTGCGTAGTTTAAGAGATTTGAGCGAACAGATCAGATCAACTACTTAAGGGCTTTTAGGGCTGCAGCCCAGGTCCCCGAGGATACAAAAGGCCCACAGTCCCCACTGAAACGATATTTAGAATATAAAAAAATATCTAGAATGTTAGAAAACCTATTATAAAGTTGGCAACCCTGAGATCAATCAACCCATGCAAATTCGCGTCTATCGAAAGGAACGGGGAATTTCTGGTCGCTTGTTTTTGGTCGATGTATTTTTTTAGAGTAATGATTAATTGATAGGCCCCTAGAGATTTAGCATTCACAATCCACCTCTGGAACAGATAAAATATGATGCATCAGGTGGTGGACGACATTCGAAGGGTTGCGGGTAGTAACTGTCCAGCAGTGGACTGCAGTGAGCTGATGATATGTAAATATGATAGTGTACATTAAGCAGATACCGAAATGTAGTTCATAAAAATATTATTAACGATAATATTTCTATGTACAAACAACCTAATTAAACACTTAAGGATAATGCACTTCATAATTATATCAAGACTTTATTCACTTAAATTTACAGTTATCTACATATCTATACTAATCTATAGTTTATTGGTTTGTTTGTTTGTTTAGACGCGCTAATTTGAGGTTTAAAATAGCGTTTTTGGAGTCCATCAAGTTAGTGACTTCAGCTTTCTTTTGCTGAGATGCTATATTCTATTATATAATTCATTTTCATTCTTCTTCTTTCTTTTCAATGGCTACTAAATATATTTTCCTCAGAATGATACGACGATTTTGCGAATTCTGTCGCATTTTTTAGTTTATTCGTTTTCATTGAATATTTGATTAATTGACGTTTGAAATAGCTTTTTTGAAGGCCATCAGTGTATTGAAATATTATAGTATAAATGATTTTAGAATTTGAATTGACTTAGTCTTTCTTTTTCTGACATGATCTATCCTTATTATACAACCGGTCTTCAGTGAAATTTTATAAAGATTCATATTGTATGAATCTTAATCAAATATATAAAAAATTATGAAAACTTCAATAACGTGCGTAATAAAACCAAATACAATCCTAAATCACGAATTTCATAGTTTTATTGAGAACATAAATATCCAAGGGTGTGTAAAAATTTATATTTTTTTAACTTCTTGTTAACCCGTGCAAAGCCGGGGCAGACTGCTAGTGTCTGATAAAATGCAACACAGATACCTATTTGCTTGTTGTTTAAAGTTACGATTACTAATGATTGATTAGTAGTTATCAGTGAAGTTTTCCATTTATTTGGTATGTTTATGATGTAGTATTATTTTTATATGTTTGTATATATAGGTAAATAGAAGACAGAAGAAAAGTACCAGGAATATGGAGATTATAATAATAATTTCAAGAGAATTCATACAGCACCATCTAGACTTAAGTTAAGACTTAAGTTAAACTACCTAACATCTGTGTTATAGAATAGAATAATGTTACGTAATGATGCGGCTCGAATGCTCAGATGGTAGGTGTTGATGGCTTCAGCAGATTACAGGGTTTTGAAACTGATAGATTTGCTTATATTCTTCAATTTAATAGTTAAATACTGTGATAAATTGAAATTTTGGTGGAGTGAACAAATATACGTTAGATCGATCGGTTGATTTTTGAAGTATGTTACGTTACGTAGCGAATTTAAATTGGATGGGTGTGCGCTCCAATCAGAACCTTCGTGGTGCGGTTTGTAGCTGCTTGTACGCGACAAATAAAATAGAAAATCATTTATTCAAATAAAATTTACTTTAAGCACTTTTGAATAGTCATAGTTATCATTCTTTTAATCTACCGCTTATTCGGAAAGCTGTCTCATTACAAGAAGAATGAACAAGAAACTTGCGTGTTGCTCTTCTAAATAATCATTGTAACAACATTTCCAATTCGAAACATGCGAATATAAAATACCAACTAGCACTAATTTATTAGGGTCAGATATTAAACTATTAAAACAGTCCTAGTGATTAGAGGAGACCAGTTCCTACAAGCAATACTAGTTCACGAGTATGACGCCAGCCATCACTGCGCTCGACCATATTTTAGGGAGTCCAATAACCCAGCCTATCACGCCGCCACATATCTGAACATTTTAGTGAGCATGACTGCTCAATCCACTCGACCACGTCATAACTACTGAAAATTACCATATGATAGTAATAGTATTTGCACTTTACAGAATAAAATGCATGCGGCAATTAATACAAAGCCGCTAGATAACTGATACAAATACATACATACATATTTCTTTTTTCGTAAATACATACACAGTAGACATAGAAATAATGCAAATAAAAATGGAGTTTAGAGCTAAGCAAACACAATAGACCAAGGTCTCAATGATCTATATTTAGCTGTCAGTTGCACTAGTAACTCTATAAAAAACCTGCAAGTAACACTTATAGCTGATAAGATAAGAAATCTTTTTTTTTCTCAAGGATTACTGATATCGTGAGAACAATAGTTTGCTGGTAAAACTAACACCTCACTTCTGATGGTCAAGGTTCGATTCCTGTACGGCATAAACATTTGTATTCAGGAGTGATTGTCTGCATATAGCTGCTGTGGGTGGAGCAAGATGCTAACATTATTCGAGAAAAGACCTCAAGAAGGGTCACAAAATAATATAAAAATGTATATGAAGAATAGTGGGAAAGCTGCCAGTAATATATACAAAAAAAAAAAGTATACAGTCCTTTATTAAACTGTCTAGGTCCCGGTTCCTTCACCACAATGACTGATTATCAAATTTCGTCATCCTTTCATCCTGTACAAATAAGACTCTAAGTATTAACACATAGGGAGCTAACAATGTACATTAACAGGTTAATTTCCCCGCTATTTGCCATGTAAATCATCGTAATAAGACCACAGGGGGGAGGAGATTCTTAGCAATGGGGACTAACAATATACCATACTCAACTTATCCAATCTTTCCCATGGAAACCATCGTTTAGGAGAATTTACCACGATGGGCTAACTGACTGACGTCATCCATATTATATCATGCTCCACTGGTGCCTAGCCAGAGTTACCGTTTGCTTAATAATAAAATGGCGCACACGGCCATTTTATTATCACTTATTTATAAAAACTATAGATATCCTAAATGAATTCTGATCTAAATACAAAAATATATACACTCATTCATGCATATACTGTATCTGAATTACAAAAATTAAATCAGTTAAAGATAATCGTACTAATATTGATTCTAGCGAATGTATTTATTATTACCGAACAATTATAGTCCCAAATTGTATAGCCCTTGAACTCAACGCAATCTCAAGTCCAATGATAACGGTAGATATGGTGTAATAGCCAACGTTAGGGTTGCCATAAGTATAAGAATACAGATACAGGTACTAGATTTTTGGTCTCCAGTAGACGACATTTTCATTCTCGAAATAGTCGTCTGAGTGAATACATCAGTCTCACCTATTTCAGCTACCAAACAGCTTGCTTTGTAAGCTGCTTGGTGGCTGAAACACTGCGGTTGTATAATACAGATAAAGCCGTGAAATTACATATCCTAGATCTCAGGTCAGCTATGGGATGAAATGGCACATATGCTATCCCAATAACATTAAAAAAATTAAAACGAGAAGTCGAATTAAGGATGATAAAAAATTATGGTTTACCAAATTAGAGAGCCAAATACAGACTCAACTTACAAGACTTAACTGATTCATACAAGGCTAAAAATTATGTTTGGTAACCCTGTCAACATTGAATCAACAACACATTTGAAGCCGGTTTGTGTTATGTGTTAGTATGCCGGCACTCGTCTAGGTGTCTGGTCTGTTCTGTTCTCTTAAGTTTATTTTAATTAATGCTGTATTTTTTATTGGTAAGTACTTCTTCTTGATCATGTTTTATTCTAATTGCCTCTGCACTGTATTTTTAATTCACATCTACATTTATATAAATTTCTATACCGATATTGACCTCAAGGAATATTACAATATATCTTTGTTTATTCTTGGACTAACATCTGAATATGTACCTTGTCATAGTAACATTATTGACACATTCAAAGCATTTTTAAACTATCTTCACAGATTGTTGTTGTGACAAGGTTCATATGTTTACATGTTTGAAACACGGAAAAGTTACATCGCATGTGGCGAGTATTTGTGTGTTAGTTCTAAATATAACTGTAGTATTATCACCAGGCATCTTATTATCAAAACCCGTTATTATTTTAATGGAAACGGGTGTATCATGAGTGAAGCGTGTTAGACTGTCATTACTATGCTGGTCCGGTGGTTTTGTTTGTATTTTTGTAACTACAGCACTGCGTCGTAGTTAGACTAATAAACGATTATTTTCCTCCGTACATTCCATCATTAGTTAATCATTACATAGTATAAAACAAAGTCGCTGTCGCTGTCTGTCCATCCCTATGTATGCTTAAATCTTTAAAACTACGCAACGAATTTTGAAACGGTTTTTTTTAATAGAGTGATTAAAGAGGAAGGTTTATTATGCAAACCCGTGCGAAGCCGGGCGAGTACCTAGTAAAAATATAATCTATATTCACTCCAACTCCCTTACAGAATAAAGAGGTATCATGTTTATGATACCTCTTTATTCTGTAAGGGAGTTGGATTTCATTCAGATATATATTTCAGATTAAATTATAATATCTTTATTCTTATACGTCTATTACAGACTCTTATGATATGTAAAATCTACCGTCAGTTCGTAGGTCTTTAGAGCTAAGAAGAAATTACAAGAAACACAACTCTTATTCCTTTCAAATCAGTTATGATAATATTTTAAAAGGTGTTACATATGAATGTGTTATAAGGACAGAGGAAAGCCGAAAAAGAGATGGATGGACAGTGTGAAAGATGATATGGTAAGAAAGAAACTAAATAACGAGATAACTGCGAACAGGGATGAATGGAAGAAAAAAGATATTACGCCGACCACAAATAAATAGAATAAGGAAGAAGCAGATGACGATTCTTTTCAAATAAGGCCGTACATGATTACTGAAATACAGATTAAAGTTTTAATCAAATTAGAGATAACGTTATGACCATCAGCATTTGTTATTACATTATTTTTAAAAGAATTTAATTTAATTTGCAGCCGTATTATAGATGGACTCCCCAAGCATTGCAACATAACCCTTATATACTTCAACTAATTAGGTACACAGCTCGGCTTATGAACATTCCGGTTTCAGATACATGACTCCGCAGTCAGATAATCGATGATACCGGATCGATGGATGGTCTTGAGGAACTAGGGGGAAGGGGGACTGTTTTTTTTTGTGGATGATAATGAAATGGTGCACCCGCCTGCGCTAACGGTTTACGCTGGCGGGGCACCAGTGGAGGATGATAAGATGAGCATGAGGTCAGGTCAGTTAGCCCATCGTGACAAATTCACCAGGAATTTACCATTTCCAGTGGGAACCGCGTGAAGGTCGACCTGAGATGGTACATTGCTAGCAATGGGGTTTTCAATCCACATTACCAACAATTCCCTTCCCCCCGAAGGGGGACTGTTAGTAATGCTTTAAATATCTGACAACATTACTAACAGTGCCCTTCCCCCCGAAGGGGGACTGTTAGTAATGCTTTAAATATCTGACAACATTACTAACAGTCCCCTTCCTCCCGAAGGGGGACTGTTAGTAATGCTTTAAATATCTAACAACATTACTAACAGTCCCCTTCCCACTTTCCACCATGTCCACTTCCACGCTGTTCCCCTGAAAACTATCCCGATAAATTCCTGGCGGATTTGTCAAGATGGGCGAACTGACTTGACCTCATGATCACTTTTGATCATCTTCCACTGGTACTGCTAGCGTAAACCGTTAGCGCAGGGTGCACCACTCTATTATCATTTATTAAAATATATATATATATATATATGTGGGGATTCCTAATTACATCTTTAAATTCTTCCTCTAATTCTTCCTCCATTGGATAGACTAAATCACTTTTATTAGAGTTACGTTGTTATCCATACGTTGGTTTTCTCACGAGACTACATTATGGGGTTTTTCAAGATGGGTATAGTAAGATTTCTTAAGGGTCGACAACGCGCATGTGATACCCCTGGTGTCTCAGGTGTCCATAGGCTACGGTAACCATTTACCAGGAAAACATTTACGGTAACCATCAGATGGGCCAATAAAAAAAAATATAAACTCTTTATAATCTTACGATGACTCAAAATTGCATCATACATTTTATACATATAATCCATTTAATATTTTAATCTAATCACTGCATCGGTGATCTAATGATTTCGCACACCACTTAACTCCAATAGTCACTGGTTCGATTCCAGGCATGGTGCAAACATTTATATTAATTCAATTATATTGGTCTGTACGAGTATGTTTTCTGTGGTTATTATGTATGTATTTATAAACAACCGACCGAATTCAGAACAAACGTTTCTATACTCGAATAACTCGGCATTACACAGCGTCTATCAGCAACAACACAATCACGCATTATTACCTTCTTCAGTCACGTTTCACGAAAAAACGACGCATCCATAGAGCGACTTGTCATACAGGGTAGAGTTGATGGTACTAGACCCCGTGGATGATCACCCATGCGATGGACCGACCAAATCAAAGCAGCAATAGGCGGTCCACTCCACGAGTGTACCAGAATGGCAGACAGTAGAGACAAATGGCGAGCTGTCGTACGGCGGATGACATCAGCCTCACATCCCACTACATAATAACCACGACCGTTCTGACAAGAACGAAGCGAAAGAAGAAGAATTTATAAACAAATATATTAAAGTATTTACTAGCATATTATTATATGTATTGCTTAGCCTAGGACAGAATGGCGCTATATGAATTGTTTTAGGCTGTTATTATTTCTACAATGGTAGATAATAAACTCGAAGAGAGAAAATACATAGATACTAATCCTAAATCATCTGATTTTTATGCAATACTATGGAAATTTATTTAATAATGTCTTCGTAGAATCATTACATTTGAAGCGTTTTTTTTAATAGATAGAGTGATTCAAGGGCAAGGTTTATGTATAATACATATACACCAGTGCGAAGCCGGTGCAAGTAGTACCACAAGGAAGTGCTAATTAATTATGTAATTTTTTTTAACTAATTTAAGTATGATACGTTTCATTATTTTATATAATTTTAGTGTAACGATAGATAGAGGAAAGGAATGAAACGACTACCCTTCTTCTTAAAAAGGGGTTATCGTTTCAGAAAATAATTACCCCTCCGATCGGTCCCCTGTCCAATTCAAACGGAGACCGATATTACGACGGTCTGAGCCGAGGTTCGTACCCCTAGCGGTGCGCTCAGACTAAAGTCGTATCCGTCAGGCGGGAGTTGGCCTTTAGCGCTCCATAAGTCCTTCCGCAGGTTTACAGTGCCATCTGCACTCGCCCCCTATCGTCCGGTGAAGCTGTAAAGACCAGCTGCGGCCAACAGCATTAGAGTCCGAAAAAAAAAAGAAAATAATTAGTTACGCGATGGAGTTGGAACAAAGAGGAACTTTGAATGGAATGGAATGGCTTGCATATCTAGATGGACTGTTTTTATTATTGCCACCTGATTTCTTATATTATGAAACCACGATACAGTTGATATCTATATTCTGCAGGGGTGATAACTTCTGTCATACTCTCTCAAAAGGTTCACAAACATTCCTACATAAATTGATAATTTCATAACAATTTTAATTTATGTGCGTCAATTATTTATCTCTTATATACATGAAACATGTTTGTTCTTGTTACGGTATTTATCATTATATTTATATCAGCCGCAGATCGATTTATTTGAATACCTAATCTTAATGTTACCATGGCAACAGTTGAGGTTGATCGCTTCAAGTGATTTAGTTTTTGTTACGCGGCAGCGCGTAATTTTTTTGTTTTATTTTATGAATGCTGAAATGGTAATCTGCGCTAACGGTGTCTACGCTGGCGAATTATCAGTGGTGAAAATGATTAATGATGATAATGACTGTGAAATATTACCAGCAATAGACCCAGTGGAGTAGCTACCTAGGCTAGGCGGTCAGTGCCCCGGAGCCCTCAAGCTCAGGGGCCCCTCGAACCCTTACCAAAAGATCTCGATCGAACTGAACTTTTCAAAATTTCTCCCATTTTCAAAATATGTGCGTTTTAATAAAACTGTAATGTACAAATGATTTTGACATTTTTTATTTGCCCCAGGGCCCTTGGTTACCTAACTACGCCACTGAATAGACCTACTATTGCTGGTAATATCGCTTGCGCTAACGCTGGTGGAGTATCGGTGATGAAAAATTAAGAGACGACCATGTTAGGTTACTTGCCAATTGTAATAAATTCGTCAGAAATTTCATTAAGAATAAATAATAAATAAATCATCCAGTACAATTCACACAGCGCCATCTAGTCCCAAGCTAAGCAAAGCTTTGGGTACTAGACAACTGATAGAAATACTTAGATACATCTTTTGCAAAAACATACATATTATACATAGAAAACATCGATAGTAACAATAATACTAAGCAAAACGATATGCTAAGTCGCTAGACAACCGACAAGGAATATATTTATAACCTAATGCTAAAATAGACAGTCATAAAAATAATATAAAATTTTCAATGTATTCTTTACTTTAGTTTTGGCACATTTATAAAACCATATGTAGCCATTTTGTAATTACATGATGTCATATTAGATAACGTACCTAGCCAAACATAATGACAAATCAAAATGAAAAATGACAAGTCATTGATTATTATTACCGGTTACTAAATTTGATTCTATCTCATGATACATCTAACCTATATATAAATATGTACATACTTCGTTGATATTGTGAAAAAGTATTATATTAGTATGTAATTTAGTAATAATATATCGTTTGTGAAGAAGTAAGAAACTGACAAATATTCACACACTCATGATATGGATGCCATCAAATAATTTCGCCTTCAAAGATAAACAAACAGTTTGCTCTAATAACTATGACTGATATATAATGTTACTCAAGTAACTATTTATTTCATTATGTCAACTTTACTATTTGGCAGTTTGTATTCACACACAATTCTTAAAAATGTAATTATGAACAACATTTATTTAAAAGAGCAACAAGCAAGTTTCTTGTTGTTCTTCTTGTGGTGAGTCTGTGTTCTGAATGGTAGAATAAAAAAAATTACTCTTCAAAATTGCGTTCCGAATGAGTAGCAAAATCCTAAAATACGACTATTTAAAAGTGCTTATATTAAGTTTATTTGAACAAAGATTATTTCTATTTCTATTTATACCTTCATAAATTTGAGAAAGAAAGCAACTTGCTCGTTCTTCTTGTGAAATCGACGTTCCGAATGAGTGGTAGAATCCAATCAAAAATGACTATTAAAAGTGCTTATATTAAGTTTATTTTAATAAACATTATTTCTATTTCTGTATTCATAACTCTAAGTAAGAAATGCTTGTTTTCAGCAATGGGCAAGATAGTCATAGTTCTAGCAGTAGTTGCTGTAGCCGTTGGTGTACTGATTGCTCTAAGATGTAATCAAGCACCCGCCGTCCCACCAAAACTGGACCCGCAAGAATGGTGGGGACCCAACGAATTGAAAGGAAAAGTTGATAACAGTATAAAACCTTTCCAAGTGAAGTTTGAAGAATCGGTAAGTAGTTTAATATGAGCATTAAACAATTTGTTTATTGATGAAATAGATTTCAGTAAAATGGGGTGCGAAATCGAATTTCGACTTCCACATTCAAGGAATCTTTATTGAGTAAATAGATCTCAATGTTCTTTTCGCAACAATTATTCCAACTTTATCCAGAACAATCCAAAGTTTTCTTTAGGATAAGTAAGTTTTCATTATTTAAGTTAAACATAAACTTTTGAGCAAAAAAGAAGATTTAACACAGAAATTATTAAAGGAGAAAGTCATATATTACTCCGTATGGAATATAAAGAAATTAAGTTTATGTCCACTTATTGGAAGAATTGTACTATTGGTTTATTAATCAACTCTCTGTTTTTTTTTTCAGGCAATTAATGACTTAAAAGCCCGTTTAAAAAATCACCGGCCATTCACTGCTCCGTTAGAAGGAATTGGTTTTGAATATGGCTTCAACACCAAAACATTGAACTCGTGGGTTCAATACTGGGCAGAAAAGTATCCATTCAGCGAGCGCGAGAAATTCCTTAACAAGTTCCCTCAGTACAAGACCAATATCCAGGGTCTGGACATACACTTCATAAGGGTTAAGCCTCAGGTAAAGATCAAATTATCTGGATTAATAATCGAGTTTTCACGGCCTCCTCGGTCAGTAGTCTAGAACAAGCCGTCAAGACCGACTAGACCAGTCTCCAACTTTGAAGCCTTAGGGTCATAATGATCTTTCCAGTGTGTTCCAATAATTAAAACAGTTTTGACGGCTTATAGTGTAATATATGCTTATAATGTATATCTGGTACAATATTCTTTCCTATTATTTAATGTGGTAATTTTTTTAAGGTTCCTTCTGGTGTCCAAGTGGTGCCAATTCTGCTGATGCATGGCTGGCCTGGTTCAGTAAGAGAATTCTACGAAGTCATCCCACTGCTCACTAAACAGAATCCGGGTTATGATTTCGCTTTTGAAGTCATCGTGCCTAGTTTACCTGGCTATGGATTTTCTGATGTAAGTATTTTTTTTATTCTTTATTGCACAACAAAGAAATGTACAAAAGGCGAGCTTAATTCCATATGGTATTATCTACCAGCTAACCTTTAGGTAGAAATAGAAAGCGTTGTAGGGCAGTGATGGCGCAGAACTGTGATAATTTTGGAATGACAAACAAACTGACCACCCACTTTTTTTTCACCCGATTTTGAGTGGTTATTGTCACCTATGTACGTAAATAACACTACGTGGGGGAAGGGTTGTTAGTATTATGAACTATTGATCCCATTGCTAGCAACGACCATATCAGGTAGACCTTTATACGATTCCTCCTTAAACCCCGGAAACCATTGTGGTAAATTCTCGGTGAATTTGTTATGATGTGCTAACTGACCTGACCTTATGTTCATCTTATCAATGGTGCACCTGTCTACACTAATGGTTTGCGCTGGCGGGGCACCAGTGGAGGATGATATCTGTACGAGGTCAAGTTAGTTACGCCATCGTATCAAATTCATCAGTTTATCATGATGATTTCCAGGGGAACCGCGTGGAGGTTAACCTAACATAGTACATAACAATTGGGTTGTCAATCCACAATGCTAACAATCCCGTTCTCTCTATAGCCTAATGGTTTACAAGTCCGAATGTCCCATTTCTAGCAGTGTATCATGTCAGGCCACCAGGCGTCCCCCCCTGGAAACTATCGTGATAAATTCCTGTTGAATTTGCCGCGGCGCGGCGAGCTGACAACTGACCTGACCTCATGTTCATCTTATTTCTATGATGTTTATTCCAGGCTCCTGTACGACCAGGCTTGGCTGCTCCTCAAACAGCTGTGATATTCAAGAATCTGATGAACAGGCTTGGCTTCAAGAAATATTACATCCAAGGTGGGGATTGGGGTGCGATTATCGCTGCATCTATAGCCACCCTGTTTCCTGAAGATGTACTGGGTCATCATACCAACATGCCTTCAGCTTCGGTAAGGTCAAAGACATTACATACCTTACATCTATATAGATAAATTAAATTGCAATGTCTGTTTGTAATTCTTAATTAACAGCTTTTTACTAATCTTAACTAATCTTATCCTTGCTAACATTATAAATGCAAAAGTAACTCTTTCTGTCTGTCTCGCTTGCACGTCAAAACTACTAAATCGATTTAAATTAAATTTGGTACATAGACAATCTAGATACTTTTTAATACGAAAAAAGGATTGTACGGGGTTGGATAGGAGATCTGAAAGTATTGTCATTTTTAAAGCCTTAATGAATTAAAAAATTTAATGAAATTTATTATTTAGGCTATTGATTGAATATAAATAAACAAAAACGTTGTAAAGGGTTGAAAGGGTTGATGAATGATTCTGTGTAGGCTTTTTGGGTTAGATTATGGAATATTTTTCCTTTATTTGATCAAGGTCACCATAACACGCGGACGAAGGCTTAGGTACAGCTGATATATCATCAGTAGTTTAGTGCAAGCATAGCTTAGTTTGAAACTATTTGACTCTGTCACGCATGTTTTATTGTCCATGGTTAATATTTTATTTTTCTTATTTACAGGGTCCCTGTGCTTTCCTAAAATTACTGATCGGCGCTGTCTTCCCCTCATTGGTCGTGGACCCTAACTTGGCCGATAGAATGTACCCATTGACCAACACAATCTCCTATATCCTGGAAGAATCTGGTTACTTCCATATTCAAGCAACTAAACCTGATACTGTCGGTAAGCTACGTATATTGACGCTGTTCTAAAATTATTGCAGTTGATTCCAGTAATACCGCCACCAAAGAATCGCCTCGTTATAATCGTGAACTTGCTTGTAGGGACTAGATCTGATAACCATGGCTGATTTATTACTGACTGGTAAACAAAGGTTTCACGCAGATTAAGCAATGTACCATTGCTAACAATAAGACCACTATTCTCCATTACTAAACGTCTCTTCTTTAAAGAGACACAAACAGTCAGCTTATCTAATTTGATTTGTCACTTAAGTAACTATTTATTTATGTTAACTTCGCAATTTGGCAGGTTCTGTTCTCACAAAATTCTTAAAAATGTAATTCTGAACGATAATTATTTAAAAGAGCAAAACGCAAGTTTCTTTTTCGTTCCTCTTGTAATGAGTCTGCATTGCGAATGAGTGGTAGAATAAAAAATACGACTATTTAGAATTGCTTATGTTAAGTTTTTTGAATAAAGATTATTTCTATTTTATTTCTACCAAAGATAGACTTTATTAGTGGTAGACTGTAAAAAGTTGTCTCTACCTGGTGCCTCAGTCGCACCTATTTCAGCCGCCAAGCAGATTGCTTGAATGTTTGTACCGTGCGAGGAATCGGACCCGCGACCATTGAAGTAAGGAGATGTGCTAATCCGCTAGACCACTGAAGACTGACATATATAGACAAGGGGTACCTACTTCTCATTTCATTAACTTATTATTCCAGGGGTTGGCCTCAACGATTCTCCAGCAGGACTCCTAGCTTACATCCTGGAGAAGTTCTCGACGTGGACGAAGAAGGAGCACCGTTCGACGGTCGACGGTAAACTGGACATCAGGTTCACAAAGGACCAGTTGATTGATAACCTGATGATTTACTGGACCTCTCAGTCGATTACAACATCAGTGAGATTCTATGCAGAGAATTATAGTAGGAGAAACAGAGACCTAAATATTGACGGGTAAGAATATTAAATACATTGTGGAATTACCGTTCTATATACTATTACCAAGCTAAGCAGAGCTTGTGCTATTGGCACTAAACAACTGATAAAAATATTTAAATACGTACATGTGCTCCCTCTAATATGTTTGAGTGCAATGATGCTGCTTGTAGGGACATGCAGCACCCGTCTGTTCAGGTTACGAACACTGATTAGACTTTTTGCTTTTGCAGTAGCATATGCTGTGGTCTCTATTCTCCCAAATTTGAATTTATAATAAATCTGTATTATTGTAAACATGTACAACATTTATTTGAAAAGAATACGAGCTGAGTTTCTTGTCAGTTCTTCTCATCTCGAAATCATTCCGAACTGATGGTAGATTTGACATATCATAAGAGTCTGTAATAGACTTACATGAATAAAGATATTTTGAATTTGAAATTTTGAATACATTTTATTAGTCGTTTAATATCCATAACACAAGCTCTCCTTAGCATGGGACTAGATGGCGCTGTGTGAAAAAAAAAATTGTCTTAAAATCTAGTAGATTGGTGAACAAAGAATCTATTTTCAGATACAAAATTGTTGTACCAACCTGGGCCCTACAAGCGAAGAATGAACTTGTATACCAATCGCCGAGTATACTCCGCGTCAGATACACAAACCTCATCAACACAGTTTCTCTCGATGATGGCGGTCATTTCATAGCCTTCGAAAGGCCCAAGGTGTTTGCAGAAGACGTGTTCACAGCCGTCAAAGCTTTCAGGGAATGGCACACAAACAATAAAAAAACCGAATTATAATTTAGTCATCTCCTTTGATAGGTTAGGTAAACAATAAAAAACGGAATTATAATTTAGTCATATCCATTGATAGATTATTCATTTGTGCTTTCCCTTCCGATCCCCTATCCAAATCAAATGGGGATCGAAATTACAAACGCCTGAGCCGAGATTCGAATCCCTAGCGGAGCCCTCAGACTAAAGTTGTATCCGTCAGGCGGGAGTTGGCCTTCAGCCGCTCCATAAGTCCTTCTGCGGGTATGGTGTACCAGCTGCGGCCAACATCATTAGGGTAGTCCGTAAAAAAAGCTCAAGTATATATTCTAAAGTAATATTGTTTTCATAGTATCTGTTATACAAATATAATGATAATATTTAAATTTTAGGGGAAGGCCATACATTATTTCTTTACCTATGACAAAGGAAATAGGTGGATCTATTGTCTTTATCACAGGTGGTGACATGTGCGACTCCTCCTCCCAAATGTGATGTATGATATCAGGTATCATACCCCTAAGTGATAAGGGTTGTCCACCCCTAATACCTTTTAGTTTTGGATTTTTTAATATTTTTTTTATAATGTGGCATTAAAAAATACATACAACCCCCAAAATTGGGGGTTGTATGTATTGACCCTTCTGCCATGAACCCCTATTTTTAATAGCGTTTTTAATATATATGGCAAACATCGCTTGCTAGGTCAGCTAGTATATGTATATATGTATATGCCGTCAGGATATCAGCTATTTCAATAATATATTAGAAATTGTCACAGAGTGAGATGAAGTTTTCTATATGTTTGTTGCTTTTGTAATGAACCATTGACTATAATTTAGAAATGTAAATAAAGTTGTTTTTTATTGATACATATTTTATTTTGATATTTTACACGCATATTGTATAACTACAAGGCCCCACTCCGGCTTCGCACGGCTGTACAGGTATGATACATACAAACCTTCCTCTCAAATTACTCTATCTACTGTTAAAAACTGCATTAAAATCCGTTACGTAGTTTAAAAGATCTAAGCGTAATATATTTTTCTCTTTCATTCATCCCTGTTCGCAGTTATCTCGTTATTCATTTCCTTTCTTACCATGTCATCTTTGACACAGATCATCCAGTTCTTCATCTGCTTCTTCCTTATCCTATTTATTTGGGTTCGACGTAATATGTATGTTTTCTCTTCCATTCATGCCTGTTCGCACTCCTCTTTTTCGGGCTTCCTCTGCCCTTATCCACATTCATATGTAACACCTTCCTTAAAAAATTATCTTCATTCCTACGCATTACATGCCTATACTATGATAGCCCATACATGTGTTAATATCCAGAAATAATACGTTTTGTTGTGTAACAATTTATTTAAAAACTTACAATAATAATTAGATAATATATTACTATTAGTATCTTAAAAATAATGTACATAAAAATTATATTACATGATTTTTTTTAATAATAATAATAATAAGGAAAAGCTATGAAAATGAGACAACAGCAATAATAATAATCATCCTAGTAAAACATATCTCTTACAAAAAGCCACAATATTGAATATCTGTCGCATTACAAGAAAATTGTAAACTTCCTGAATAATAACATCTTCACATAGCGCAACCTCTCCACACTTGGGTAAAGGTGTGGGTCAGTATCATCTTTTAAACCAGATAAAAGAAGAGAAAAGAAATGAAACGTAATAATAAGAAAATAAGCTTATGGGCATAGATAATTGATACAAATATTTTTTTGTAAATACATACACATTATACATAGAAAACACCTAGACCGATAGAAACGTTCATACTCATGAAATGTTTGCGCCGTGCGAGGAATTGAACCCGCGACTATGGGAAGTAAGACGGTATGCTAAACCGCTAGACCTTCGAGGCCGTCAAAATTAATAATAATCCCAAATGGAGCAGCTGAAGGCCAACTCCCGCCTGACGGATACAACTTTAGTCTGAGGGATTGAACCGCTAAGGGTTTGAACCTCGGCTCAGGCTGTAATTTCGATACCTGTTTGAATTGGACGGGGGATCGATCGGAGGGGATATCTTCAGCAAGCATCTGTTGGCATATAAACTAACATCTAACAAATTATGGAGTGAGAGTAAATCACTAACTTTCTTTTACATGCTATAAAATACACCACGCTACAGTCAGCTGACTACTATTTATCTTCGAAAAAAAAAGGAAAAAAGGTTTATTTGATACACATAAAATATAAAAACAAAAAGAAAATCACAAATTGGATCATTAACTATGGTACCAAATTGGTCTCTATGCCGTAATGTGGCGCCACGACGCTGGTATTCTGCGGTAGGTATTATACAATAGAATATTACATAAATATATACAAATATCATATATGTATAAAATAAACCAAATAGTCTGACAGTCACAGAACTAAAAAGAGTGTGATAGAAACAAAAATGGAAACAAAAGGGTACTGAGAGAAGAGAAAAAGTTATAAATTCAGATAATATTCGCGTACTTTACGTTTAAAAGAAAATTTATTCGTAGCAGCTTTGATGTCAAGAAGTAAGTCATTCCAAAGTTTGTTAGCCCGAATGGCGAAACAATAGTGGACGATACCGGAGAATTGAACCGGGATATGAAGTAAAAATTTTCTGGTTATGCGAATACAGTAATTAGTGTTGTCGCCATGCGAAACGAAATTTACTCTTAATATAATCAGGGGAATTTAGATAGTATAGAATGGAATAGAGAGTACAAAGAATACGTACATTCCTACGACAGCGGACAGACAGCCATTTATGCTGTAAATATATACATACATAAATCTAAATAGGTTTTACTATCTGCTAGCAATTTGAACCAGGAGGAAATTACAGTTTTTTACATGTTTGCGAGTGTGCTACTCTTCGACGAGACTGTAGCTGACTTTCACTAAACTTTATAACACAACTATCTGAGAATGTTGACTGAGAGGAAATTATTCAACTTGACCTGTTTCTGGCTTACGGGGCATTATACTATGGGCGTATGGTGCTGGTGACTAGTTTACTAATTTTACATTTAACAATTGCTACATTTAAGTTAATACAGTTATTAATGATTTAATATATTACGAATGTGGTACAGCTGAAATACTAAGTCATAATTTGTAAATCGCGGCAACTTTTAACAGTGAAACGAAACGTTAATGAAACTGTCACCCGCACCATGCTACAGCTCACATGGTATAGATTAATGTTTAATAATGTATAATCTTCTCAGAGCGGTTTACTGTTTCATCTTAAAGCATCGTCAGTTCAAATCTCGTAGATACAAATAAAAACTTTGTGTACTAATTTATATTTCTGACAGATAGAAAACACCGATATCAAACCAGTTAATCCGTGAGAGCGAGAAGAGAGTGTTGTATTCAGCACAACATCGACACTTGACTGTACCTTTGACTACTTCATCTGGGATTGTAAATAGTCACACAATTTCATCGACTTAATTTCTTAGAAGTACAGCTTCTATTCTCTAGTCATTCTTATTAAATGTCATATTTTCATTCACTTCTTTTCCTTCTGTTTTCTTTCTATCATATCTCTGTGGACACATTTTATCCATGTTTGCATTGGTCCTTTCTTGGTCCTGTTTCCATCCACATTCATATTCAATATTACCTGTAAGAAATGATATTGATCCCTTCGCTTTATACGTTCATACAAAGATAAACGTTTCCTTCGCAATATATCCGTTATATTCTTGACTTTCACAGTGTTTTGTGGGTTCTCGCTTAGTATCCGTTCTAGCATTCGACGCTGGGCCTCCTTTAATCGTTTCTCGTCTAGGGATTGTACAGCCCAACATGCAGATCTATGTAGGATGACAGGTCATATAAGATATCTGTATATGTCGCTCTTAACTTCAAGGGACACTTTGGGATCACATAGTACATGAGAGAAAATGTGCCATTTGCTCCATCCATCCATAATCTTGTGCATCACATCTAGATCTATGTTGCCATCATTCTTTATAATTGAACCATGGACGTTAATGGTAGACCTGACTATTAATGTTTTACTATTAACATGAAGTTCAATTAGTATTTGATTACCTTGATCACTGAATTTGCAAAATAGGTGTTGAATATTAGATTCATTCATTTCTAAGCCCATTTCCTTTAATTTTGTTAGATGTATAGTTAGGCTTCTCTGTATATTGTCTCAATTTTCATTGATAAGAATAATACTACTAGACGATAGCATACACTACGGTGGCATCTCCTGTATATCGTATGATGATATCAGAACAACCATTATTATCATGAATAGATAAGGTCTTAGACAAGATCCTTGAAGCAAACCTACTGCAACATTGAACTTGTGAGGTATGCCAACCGCCGAGCGCACGTATATGTGCTAGACTGGAAGTACAATATAATAAAATAAATAAAATAAAAAAAGCCTTTTATTTCCTAAAATGACAAGAATATTACATGCACTTACTAACTATTTATGAACATATCATGTTATTGATCTTTTTACATATTCTATTTGTTATTTATTATATTATATTATTATTTTAATTATATTATTTTATCTACTTTTAATATATTATTATTAGCATGCAATAACAATAAACATTACATTTCTTTTATAATATATTTACGTCCACTGCTGAACAAACTGCTGAACAAAGGCCTCCTCCAAAGATCTCCACGACGATCGGTCCTGCGCTACTCGCATCCAATGCCTTCCAGCGATCTTGACCAGATCGTCAGTCCATCTTGTTGGAGGGCTTCCCACGCTGCGTCCTCTGGTTTGCGGTCGCCACTCGAGGACTTTACTGCCCCAACGGCCATCTGTCCTACGAGCTATGTGCCCTGCCCATTGCCACTTCAGTTTTGCAATTCTTCGGGCTATGTCGGTCACTCTGGTACTTCTGCGGATCTCTTCATTTCTGATCCCATCATGCACAGAAACTCCGAGCATAGCCCTCTCCATCGCCCACTGAGTGGCTTTGAGCTTTTTCATGAGGTTCATAGTTAGCGACCACGTCTCTGTGCCATATGTCATCACTGGCAACACACATTGGTCGTAAACCTTCGTTTTGAGACACTGCGGTAAATTGGACGAAAATATATATCGGAACTTCCCGAACGCTGCCCATCCGAGTTGTATTCGACGATTGACTTCTTTCTCGAAATTGGACCTATCTAGCTGGATAATATACCCTAGATATACGTAGTGATCGACAATTTTGAGTGTAGAATCTTCTATTTTAACGGGAGCAGGTACAACATGGGCGTT